GGGAGGTGGGCTGTTGGGAAGGTGCCCCAGGATCTTCCATTCCATCCCTCCAAGGGAGGTGGCTTCACCTCCTGCTCACCCATCACCCTGAGCTGCTGTCATGGCAACACATGCTTGGCTTCAGGAAGAACAGGTACTTCTGCTTGTTTACCCAAGGAGGAGCAGCATCCCGGTGTTTTGAGCAGGAGAGAAGGAGGGGAGTGAGCCAGCACAGCACAGGAGCTCAGGGACCTGGAGCTGCATGGTGTGCTGGTCTGCAGCCTCCTGCCACCCACGAGAGGGGTGCAGCCTTCATCCACTTTGCTTCTGCCTCTCGTGGCTGGGAGATGTGCTCGTGGGGGTGGTGACAGTCCCCACACCACGCTGGGGCCCCACAGGAACATGGGGTGACAGAGGGTTTCGGCTGCACAGCACAAAACTGGGACGTGCTGAGCACTCAGCACTAACCTTGCGCTGCAAAGGGGGAACCACCCCTCAGAAAGGTCCTTTAATGCTCACCAGGGGCTGCAAAGAAAACACAGATTGCAGCCCCAGCAGGGCTCTGGCAGCAGCTCCTGCCTTCCCCAGCCATTTCCCAAGAGCAGCCCCAGCACACGGCACATCCAGCACCACCCATGGACCATGAGAACCAGCTGAGTGCAGAGCCTTTCCTTTGGAACCTCTCTCACACCTGCAGGAGAAGCAGACAGTACTTTGATTTCAGAGCTCCTGAATCCAAAGGAGCCTGAGCAAGATATTTCCCCCTCCAGAAACAGCTGAGTGAGAGGCTGGTGACCGCCTGCACCACCTCCACGTGCCAGCCCCTTGAGAAGGGATGGAACTCAGTGCCTCACTGCTGGACAGCAGCACCAGCACCCACAGCAGTCCTGGCTCCCCTGGGTGCAGAGGAGGCAGGAGCTGGTGGAAGAAAAGCTGTCTAGGAAGATCTGAAAGAGGCCCATGCTGGAGGGTTTGGAGTTGCCTCCAAACTGTGGGAATCCAGGGCTTCCCTCTGGCTGCCCTGGCAGGTCTGGGACCCTGGCAGGGGTCAGGAACCCCCTGGACAGAGCCCCCAGAGACACTGTCTGTGATCTCTGTCCATGGAAAAGAGTTTTCAATCTTACAGGATGAATTACAAGCTCTCAGTGTTTGATAGAAGTAATAATTGAGTGTGGCACGGGTGCAAAAGTAGAATTTTAGGATTCTGGATTAGGGGTCCAAAGGGGACAAGATGGAGGAAATTGGGTGTGCCTTGTCCTTTTTCTCCTTCTTCATGCCCTCCATGTTTCACTGTGGTGTTGGCATTTTTCTGTTGGTTCAGGCTGGGGACACACTGTCCAACGTAGGTGACAGATATTGGCACGTTATTGTAAATCCAGCACAGGCAGTTTCTGGTATTTAATGTTTGTACCATCCCACTGAGGGCAGAGCCCCACACGCTGCCCTGCAGGACAGAGCTGCGGCAGGGCAGCAGAACATGTTAGAGATAAACAGAATAAACAACCTTGAAACCAGCACAGACCAATTATGGCTTCTGCTTTGGCAACGGGGCTGAAAGACAGAGACTTTCTACAATCTTGGGATCATCAATACCACAGATTCTGACACAAACTTTCCTGATTTTCAAGAGATTTGCATCCAACCAGCCCACAGGATAGGTGCAGTGTGGTCAGGACAGCAGAGCAAGATGGGAGCTTGCCCCTGCACTTCACAGCACCCCGTGGCACACAGTTCTTCTCACCAGGTTGGGCCTGCTGTGCAATCCCTAAATCCCTGCTCCAAACTCACACGAGCCCTGTTTGCAGCTTGCTGGCCTAACTCAGCTCTGGAGAACGGGCAAGGCCAGCTCTTCTCCTGTGCTGCAGCCCTGCTGGCCACAGCCTGAGCAGAGGTTATTCTGGGGCTCACTCGCTGTCACCAAAATGACCTCTTGATGAGCACCTTAATAAAAACAAAAAGCAGGCAGCAGCATCACCGTGGTGTCCTGGCAGGCCCTCTCCATTTTCCCCAGCTGTGAAATGGGTACTTCCACTTCCCAGAGGTTGATGAGAGCTTTTTCTGGATATCATCCAGTGACAATCATTTCATTCCTGGAAGCGATGCTCACAGGGGAGGGAAACCCAGTGTGGCACAATGAAGTCACGGTTGATTCCCCTGAGCCCCCCAGGCCTTTTTCTGCAGCTCTGGTACAGGCAGGTCAGCTCTGAAGGTGCATCCTTTGATAGCAGAAAACATCTGCAGATGTCAGGGGGCTTCCCTGGTCTGATGGGTGGCTGCATGGTGAAGTACATGTTTCCCCCTGGCATGACCTCTCCCAAAGTCAATATATTTGCTCCATATTTGATGTCTCTGTTCCACAACACACAGCTGAGAAACCCCCCTGTACAGCAGAAGCTATCTTTGGAGAGAGCTGAAAGAAGGAAATTATTAATAATATATAGACAAGGTAGCTCAGTGCTTTGTGGCACAAGGGCACATCTCTGCAGGGTGCTGAGCGGAGCCTTGCAGTGGGGTTTTCCTCTTGGATGCCTTTGGCAGCTCTCTGCTCCCCATCTCCAGGAGAGCCTTAGGGAAACCACCTGTGAGATGGGCAGCAGCCAAAGCTGGATCTGCTGAGCCCCATGTCCGCTCTGCTGGGAATTCAGGCAGCCTGCAAGTGCAGCTGTGCCACTGTGTGCTTCCCTCCAACATCTGCCTGTCCTGCTCACTGAAAAAAATCATGGAGCTGCTGCTAATTTCATTAGCAGGCCCGTCAAGCGGTTCATCAAGCCATGATTTCCTGGCTTGGCGCCTTGAGGAAACAAGCGGGATCTGCTCTGAATTCACAAAGCCATCCCCTGGGGTCATTTGTCTGAAGGCTTAGAATTTCCCGAGTGCATCATTATCTGGGATTAAAACCGGGGGAGGGAGGGGCCTGGATTGCTTTTTGTGCCCATCCCGGGGGTACAGCAGACCTCCCCCAGACCTCGCCCGGGTAGGGGCACGGATGCGGGCACATGGAGAAACACCCGCGGGGGCACTGCCAAGGGCTCGGCTCTGCGAGCCCGCACCCAGGTCCCGCACCCAGGTCCCGCACCCAGGTCCCGTACTCAGGTCCCGCACCCAGGGTCCTGCACCCAGCTCCCGCACCCAGGTCCCGCACCCAGGGTCCTGCACCCAGGGTCCCGTACTCAGGGTCCCGCACCCAGATCCCGCACCCAGGGTCCCGCACCCAGGTCCTGCACCCAGGTCCCGCACCCAGATCCCGCACCCAGGGTCCCGCACCCAGGGTCCTGCACCCAGGTCCCGCACCCAGGGTCCTGCACCCAGGGTCCTGCACCCAGGTCCTGTACTCAGGGTCCCACCCGCTGGCAAGGAGCGCCCTGCCCAGACGGTCCCCTCGGCCCGTGGAGCGTCCTGTCCGCAAGGATGTGTCTGCAAGGAGGGTCCCGCACCGAGTCTTCCGCACAGAGGGTCCCTCTGTCTCACTGTGTGTCGTTCCCCCCACACACACACATACTGGGGTCCCTCTGTCGCACTGGGTGTCCCCTCTGTCACACTGCTGTCCCCCCTCTCTCACTGTGTCCCCCCTCTGTCACTGTGTCCCCCCTCTGTCACTGTGTCCCCCATCTCTCACTGTGTCCCCCCATCTCTCACTGTGTCCCCCCATCTCTCACTGTGTCCCCCCATCTCTCACTGTGTCCCCATCTCTCACTGTGTCCCCCTCTGTCACTGTGTCCCCCTCTCTCACTGTGTCCCCATCTCTCACTGTGTCCCCCCATCTCTCACTGTGTCCCCCCATCTCTCACTGTGTCCCCATCTCTCACTGTGTCCCCCCATCTCTCACTGTGTCCCCCCATCTCTCACTGTGTCCCCCCCATCTCTCACTCACGGGGGTCCGGCCGGACGGTCCCGCGCGGTCACGGCGGCTCCGCGGCCCACAGCGCCCTCTGCCGCCCGCCCGCGGCACCGCCGGGCTGGGGAACGGGGAACGGGAACGGGGAACGGGGAACGGGGAATGGGGAACGGGGAATGGGGAATGGGGAATGGGGAACGGGGAACGGGGAACGGGGAATGGGGAATGGGGAACGGGAATGGGGAACGGGGAACGGGGAATGGGGAATGGGGAATGGGGAACGGGGAACGGGGAACGGGGAATGGGGAATGGGGAACGGGAATGGGGAACGGGGAACGGGGAACGGGGAATGGGGAACGGGGAACGGGGAACGGGGAATGGGGAATGGGAATGGGGAATGGGGAACGGGGAACGGGGAACGGGGAATGGGGAACGGGGAATGGGGAATGGGGAATGGGGAACGGGGAATGGGGAACGGGGAACGGGGAACGGGGAATGGGGAATGGGGAATGGGGAATGGGGAATGGGGAATGGGGAACGGGGAATGGGGAATGGGGAATGGGGAACGGGGAATGGGGAATGGGGAATGGGGAATGGGGAATGGGGAACGGGGAATGGGGAATGGGGAATGGGGAATGGGGAACGGGGAATGGGGAATGGGGAACGGGGAACGGGGAATGGGGAACGGGGAACGGGGAATGGGGAACGGGGAATAGAGAACGGGGGACAGGGAATAAAGAATGGGGAATGGAGAACGGGGGACAGGGAACAGGGAATGGAGAATGGGGAATGGAGAACAGGGAATGCGATATAGAGAATGGGGAACAGGGAATGGAGAATGGAGAACAGGCAACAGGGAATGGGGAACTGAGAAAGGGCAATGGGTGGTGTGGGAGGGAACAAGGAATGGGGAACGGAGAATGGGGAATGGGAGGTGCAGGAGGAAACAGGCGCTGAAGGAGGGAACAGGCACAGAAAGGAACAGGCAGTGCAGGCTGAAGGGCGGTTCTCCAGGGCAGGCTCTGTAAAGAGCCAGCTGTAAATCCATGACCAATACTCCCAGGAAAGGGGGAATCCAGGAGCTGCGGCTCTTGGCAGTATGAGGAGCAACAGAACTGCAACTACGCTGACTTCAGTCAAGAGCATCTTGATCATAAAAGGAAAGAAAAACCAAACCCAGAAGAGCTACAGTTTAATGATGATAAACTTTTATTCTTGCCCCAACTTCTATTTTTGGTAATGCAACCATTCCTACCCCCACAATCCCAAAAAGCAAGGCAATTATCTTTAAATGGAAAATGTTCCTATGAAATGCAGAGAGGCAATTGTGGATTAGAGGGGAAGAAAACAAAGGAAATACCCTCAGTTTTCCACTGTGAACCCTTCTGGGCTGACATTTCCCAGTGTGTCCTCCCATCATTTTAGCCAAACTCGTAGCTCAATTTGACCCAGAACGTGAATTCCCTTCTCCCCAAATATTTCCATGTTTGGAAACCAGCCCAAGCCCACCCCACGGGTGCACAGGCCCAGACCCAAGAAGTGAGGTGTCATCCTCCAGTCCCAGCACCTGCCCCGTGCCCTGTGGCATGGGTGACACTGCTGCCTGCACTGGTGCTGCTGCTTGCAGGGGTTTGGGCGCTGTGCCCCTCTGTCCCCCTCTCCACACTCACACCAGGGACCCCCCATGGCTGCAGCACAGCCTGGCAGAGCTTTGCGGGCTCTTGCAGTGGTGCCACGTTTCCACCCTCACACGTGTCCCTGTGGCTCTGCCACTCATCTCTCCTCTGGAAGGCAGGGGCCTCTGCAGCCTGCAAAGCCCCAAAATTCCCACTGAGTACAAGAAAACCCCCTGCCTAAGAAAATAAATGTGTTCTGCACTCCCTCTGAGCTACCCACAGCAAAGCAAATATGGGCACAGTTGGCTCCCACCATGGCTTGGTTCCTTAAAAACATGTCTTTCAGTCAAAGCTGTCCTGGCACATCTGGCTGTCATTAGATAGAGGAGAGAGCCGCTCTCTGTCTGACTCCTGCTCGTAGCACTGCACCTCTGCATTGCACATCCACAGCCCAAATGGCATCACACTGCTTCCACAGCAGGAGGGCTTGGGAACGCTGTCCCCAGGAAGGTGCAGTGCTCAGGGCACCAAGCCAGCTGCACCAGGTGCCCCCTGACAGCACCAAACCATAGAAGAGAGGCGGGCAGGAGGCAACGGCAGGCCCTGCCAGGCAGTGCCCAGCCTCAGCAAGAGTGGCACCAGGACAGGGACAGGGACCCAAACAGCCTGTCCATCTGCACGGGTCAGAGGCACACTTTGGTCTGTCTTAGCTCAGTTTGGGGATCTGGTGGGTAAAGAGTTTCTGGGTGCAGACTGGGCAGTGTTTGCAGACACTCACTGGGGACTGAAGGGATTTAGAAAGGCTGAACTCAAAAGGCAATGAAAAAGTGACAGGTCAGAGGAGGAGCCGAGACAATCCCCTGATTTGGGGCCACCTCAGGGGCTGCCATCAAGGCAGTGCCAGCAGCAGTGCTAAGGACCTGAGAAAAGCTCCTGGCAAGGCAGCCACAGGGTCTGATTGTGAAACAGCAAACATTGCCTCAGCACAGGTCAGACATCATCCAGCTGACTGTTCCCTCTCACTGCATCCCACCGGGTGAAGCTTCCTCCTCATCCTCAAACAGACTGTCTGAGCTATCAGAGAAGAAATCCTCCAGTTCCTCCTGCCTCATCTTGGACTCCAGAGCAGTGATGCGCTGCTTGAGCTTCATCTGGGCATCACTGTACTCAGTCAGGAGCCGGCCAAAGCGGGTATGCAGCGTGTCCAGGTTTGAGGCCACCCTGTCCAGCCTCTCCTCCAGGCTCTTCCCTTCTGTGCTTTCCTCTGCAGCTGACTCATCCAGCAGCCCTTCCTTGATCAGGATCTCCCGGCCACGCTCCTCCAAGATCCTTTTGGCATCAGGATACTCTGTGACTGCTTCCATGAGATCTTCCTTAGACAGGCAGAAGAGATCAGAGTAGCCCAAGCTGCGGATGTTGGCCGTGCGCCTGTTGCCCATTTTGCTCCCTTTGATGTTGAGGATGCTGATCTCACCAAAGCAGCCCCCTGCAGTGAGCAAAGCATACTGTGTCACCCCATCATCCGCCACCACGGCCAGCTTGCCCTCCTTGATGATGTACATCTCCTTCCCGATGTCCCCTTTGCGGCACACGTAATCCCCCGGGCTGAACACCTGAGGCCGAAGCTTCAGCACCAGCTCCACCAGCAGCCCTGCCTCACAATTCTGGAAAATCCTCACCTTCTTCAGCGTCTCCAGGTGAACGTTGATGGCGATCTCTGCCCTTAACTTATCAGGGAGGTTCTTGAGGACCTCCTGTTCATCTACTGCCTTCTTGTTGGTCCACAGGTAGTCGAACCACTTGATGACTTTGGTTTCCAGGTCTTTGCTCACCTTGCGGAACTGCATGTAGTGTTTGACGGCGTCGATTTTGGCCTGGAACTCCGCCCTGGTGGCGTTCATGTTGGATATCATGGACCCCACGTTCCCCACGATGGTGGCAAAGATGAGGACGCCGATGAGGAAATCAAAGATCACGAAGAGGTACTCTTCATCCCGCACGGGGGGAGGGGTCTCCCCAATGGTGGTCAGAGTCAGCGTAGACCAGTAAAGACAGTAGACGTACTCCCGGGTCAGATACCCGTACTCAGGCCCTGTGACATTGGGGTAGACCCAGCTGTCCTCCCCGAAGCCTATGGCCTTGGAGATGGCGTAATAAATGCAGGCGTTCCAGTGGATGATGACCAGGATGTAAAGAACCAAGTTGCTGATGCGGAAGATATTGGGGTGGCTGGTTCTGGTCTCGGTCCTGTCGAAGAACTCGAACATGCGGGAGAAGCGCAGCAGCCTGTTGAAACGCAGCTCAGGGCAGTGCAGTCCCACCCAAAAATAGGCCAGGTCTGTGGGCAGGGTGGAGAGAACATCCAGCTTGAACTGGAGCGTGTGGATGTAATTATCCCGCAGCTTCTTCAGGTCCTTAACCAGGAGGCCCTGTTCCAAGAATCCTAAAGAGAAGCAAATTACAGGATTATCTTGGTTAAAGTTTGACTTTTCTGCAGGTTTTGTGAGCACCTGAGCAATAGCCTATGGATTTGTGTGCATAAATACACGGGGTCACCCAAATACTACCAGTTCCTGCTCTACTCAGTTTGTTATTGCTCAAGGCCTTCATCTGGCAAAAGCACCCAAAGATATAACTCAGGGATTTCGTCTGTTGCCATGAATAAAAAGGAACACAAAGGTTTCCATCCCCCAGATCATGAATTACTGCAGTTCTGACAGAAAACGTACGGCCAAGTGCTGCCTTCCGAGAACATTAAATTCTACCGTTTTTCCATGCAGATAATTCATTAGCTGAACTGATGCAAAATCAGAGATACAGACCTTCCACTATGCCCGAATACTAATAGTAATGCAGGTAATTTTGTACAATTATTCAAAGGTGAAGTTGAAAGCTGGGATGATTAATCTTTCATATTGAAACTTGCTTCATTTCTCAGATCTTCTAATTAGATTCTTTCTCTAGAGACTGCTTCATACTAGTGAACGCCAAGGTAGGCAAAACCCTCCTTCTGATGGAACCGTGCATTAGGCCTGTCCCTTGCAGCTCATCTCCACTTGTAGGGGGTTAAAGGAAAGCCAGGAAAGCTCCTGCTCACCTGTGTGCAGGCGGATCACTGTGTCCCCGAGGTAGAGAGCATCTGAGGTGTAATCTAACACGAGCCACAGCACAAAGTAGGTCTTCTGTAGGTCAGTGAAGCAAGCCCTGGAGGAAGGTCATCAAACAGGGTGTGACACCAAAAATCCCCACATCTTCTCTAACTATTACTGCTGAATGTAAGCTGATCCTGAGGCGCCCAACTCTGCAACACAGCTTGGCCACTGGGCACTCCTCTTCTGGGAATTTAAACTCCCTGCTCTGAAAAATCTGCCCTCCCGTGATGGAGGTAAAGCAACATCTTGACACCACCTCCCAGATGACCCTGGAACCATGGCCCTTTCCTGGTGGGCCAGAATTCACAGTGATAGGGGAGGGTCTCTTTCATTTCAGTGCCCACCAGCCCCAGCACCACCAGTGTCAGATTGATCCTGGCTGAGCCACAACAGCGGGGTGATCAGGAGGGGCAGAGGAGGCAGGAACCCTACAAGCTCCCAGCTCACCTGGCCACCAGCAAGCACCAGTTATAGAGGACAGGAACTGCAATCACAGCCAGCCAGTGGTAATACCAGTCCCCTGCAGGGTCCACCACAAAGAAGAGCCATTTCCTCCTGGAAGCAGAGAGAAGAGCCAGAGCTGGCAGTGTATGTGGAAAACAGGGTTGGAACAAACCATGTGAGCCACGTCCTTCATCCCTTGCACCACAGTGCCTCCAGCAGAGCTGCAGCTTGGGTGCCAGCCTGTAAGCCAAGACCAATCCCAGCAGTGCCGAGTCCCAGCACTGTTCAAGATCCTTTATCCCTAAAACCGAGCTGAGAATGCAGCAGAAGAGGAAACTTTGGGATGGTAAGGCAAGGCAGGTGGCCCACATGACACAGACCCCAGTGGCAGAGCCAGGAACAGATGTACGGAGGAGGGGGGTCAGAAAAGTCCTTGTGATGTACATGACATTGCTTCTCCCAGGTGAGGTAGGGACCGGTGCCAGGCAGATCTGAAGAGAAGAGTAATTGAAGCAGGAAGGAAAGTGTGCTGCAGATCAGTGGCAGCCCCAGGAGGGGCTGCCCAAGCCCCAGAGCAGCAGCCCTGGGGCAACTGGCACAGCAGGGCTCCTCCTGTGCCTCCTGCAGGCTGCACAGCCCGGGCTCCAGCCTTTGAACTGCTCCCAAGTGACTGATCCTGCTCGCCGTGGGACTCTGAGATAAGAAGTGTGTGCTCCAGTTGCCAGATTCACTGGAGAAGCTGGGGAAGAGAAACTCCATGGCTGGGGTTGATAGGCTTATTGCAGCCTGGTGGGGCAAAACACTCTCCCTCTGTCCCTCCCTCCCAGCTTTGAACACACAAAACTCCCTCCAGTGACAGCAAAAAAATCAACCCACTTGCCAATAGATTCCCCATGCCCAACCCATTACTTCTGGCAGCTTCAAAGGCAGAACCCCTGCTTGGAAGCCTCCTGTCCCTGGAGCACAGACAGTGCCCAGAGTGTGGGATTGGCACTCGCTCAAAGCCAGCCCCAGTCCCTCATGTTCACCCTCTGTGCACCCACAGACAAGTGGTGATCCAGCCTCCCCATTAAATGGGCTTATTTTTAACCAGAAAGTGCAGCTTGAACATTTGTTTTTTGAGAAAGGGACTCTGCTCCCAGGACATACAGCAGTGCCACAGGGGAAGCTCTGGCTCACCTGCAGCCAGCACCCACAGCCATTAATAACCTCAACAATGCTGTTAATGATGTTGGTAATTTCAGCTTTAAATCACCAGTGCTGCCATGACACGAGGCCAGAATCACTGATGTTACACTGACAGCAGGGCTGGAAAAACAGGGCTCTGCTAACCCAGGAAGGGGAACAATCCTCTGCCTCTTGCCAAAGGCTTTGGGGCCACGGAGCCTGCCACGGCCACAAGCAGCAGCTCACGGGTGGGATTACCAGACTTGGGGCCTTCTTACCTGTGGAGCTGAGGCCCTAGAAAACCCCAGGAGTTCCCACTGCATCCCCAGAACCCACTGGCACTGAGCAGCCCTTTCACAGCACGCTTCAGCTCCTTCTAGTCATGAACAAGCTCCCCTTAACCTCACAGAACAGAACAGTATTTTCTTTCATTACTACTAAAGACCCAGATACAAGGCTCAGATTATTTTTCTCTGAGAGAAAACAATTATTTCTTGGTGTTTTAATTACCATGTATAATGGTAGGGTCCAGAGTAGTGTGAGAGCTTTGCCCTCTAATTAGCCAGCAGAAGAAAAGCCAGGTTATTGCTTCTCACCAGGAGTGTGAGCTGAGGAGATGAAAGGGCTGATTTGAAAGAGTCTTTTCAGAAAGCTGCTCTTTGTGGGGGCACAGGCAGCAAACACACTCCCTTCATCCCGCAGATGATGAGTGAGACTGGCAAATCCCACTTTTGTGGCTCCTGGGTGGGATGCAGTGGTTGCTGGGTGGAGTCCTGCATCCCTTGCCTTGTGTCCAGCACAAGCTGCAGGTGCATCTTATTACAGACCTCCAAAAACAACCCTAGTGTGGGACTGGTATGAAACTGGGGAGTCTGATGTGTTTCCCACCAGGGCATGGACCAGGAGGGAGAAGACCCGCGGCTGAGGGACAGGCCAAATCTTTTCCACGGGGACACGACAGTCCACCAGGTCCTGTGTGTCAGCAAAACAGCCCAGCAGAGCCAGGCTGGCTGCCAAGACAGGGGCTGGAGAGGGCAGGAGGGACCCTCCCCACCACTCCACCCCACTTCCTTCTTTCCCATCCCCACTAGGAGCCCCCCAGCTCCACACACAGCTGATCCCCAGCCAAGGGACCCTACTTTTTGTTTAACTTCTCAGTCTCCTCATCCTCAAGCTCAGCGCCTGCAGCCGCTGTCAGGAGCTGGGGGCCTTGGAAACGCTCCAGGAAGGGGTCTGGCCTCTGCTGCTCCTCGTGCAGGCTCCTGTTGGCCCAGTCCCTGAGCACCAGCACCAGCCGGGCTATCCTGCACAGGGAGACAGGCACACCCCCCAGTTCTTAACAGAGCAAGGACAAAGCAAAAGCTTCACACTCATCAGGGGAGCTGCAGCTGGGAAGAAAACTCTTGCAGCTCCCTCCCAAGCACTAGACTTTCTTTTTTACCCTTTTCAGTGATGATGTGGGACCAAAAATATACAGGCAATAGAGACCACCCTGATAGAGTTCCACAGCTTCTACCCCAGTCCTGCTGCCACCCCCACAGGAATATGAGGAATCTGTGGGTGGCTGAGGCACAGGGAGGCTGCTGCAGGGAAAGGAGCCTCTGAGCCCAGTGGGGGTGAAGCCATTCCCCACCAAAACCCTCTCCACGGGCACTGGGGCACAAAGAGCAGCATTTACAGATGCTCATCCCTGCATCCCATGAATCCCATACAGCAGAAGGGGATCCTCACCCCACAGAAGGCCCCAGTGCCAAGGCCAGGCACAAAAGACTCACCCCATGCCAGGGGCACACACAGGTACCTGGCTAAGGCTCCCTGGCCTTGGAAAGCGTGGTCAGCCCCCTGCTCCCCCCCATGCAGGCTGGCTCCTCTCTGCAGCTCTGAGCTGGTGCCATCCTGGGTTGAACAGGTCCTGCAGTGGAGAAAAAGGGGGATCACATCCACTCTGTGCCACCATGGCACTGCCACTGCCAGGCACGCTGGAGGAGGCTGGCAGCAGAGATTTGGCACCACCGCCCTGCCCATGCCAGGCCTTTCCCTCCCCTGCCCCACCAGGGCCCCCCTCAACCACAGCAGGGAGCAGCCTGACCTGGTGCTGAGCCCTGTCCCCTCCGTGCCACCCCCGGGCTGGTGGTTGGCTGGGGAGCTGTGCACACCATTGCTCTTCCCTGGCATCCTCAGGGTGAGGGGACCACGGGCACACACCCTGCCCCAGGGACCTGCAAAAAGCACAGGACAGCCACGAGAAAACACATGCAGGACACATCATGTGGTTTGACCACAGGAACACAGCACAGCATGGGAAGAGAGGGTCCAACACCATGGCAGGGGCCCACACCATGTTTTCCAGGAGTCCTGCAGGGCGTTTTGTCCTCTCCAAGAGATCCCACAGCTGCCTGGAGCCATGAAAGATGCTCTCCTCATCGTTCAGGCTCCTCATTCATTGCCAGAGGAACACCTCTTTTTCCTTCTCTTCTCTGGTTTTGCCTACCTCTCCTTTGCCTTTCCTGTTCTCCTTGCCTTCTGCTGCCTGGCCTTGCATGCCCCTCCCCTCCCCATTCCTTGCCTTGTGCACTCCTCCTTTTCCCTGCCCTGCCTGCCCCTCCCTTGCCTTTCCCAGTCCAACCCCTCATTTCCCTGCTTGTTTTCCCTTCCCTTCCCTTGCTTTGCCTTTACTTGCCTTGTCCTTCCTACCCCTCCCTTGCCCAGCCTTCCTTGCCTCCTCCTCCTTTGCCTTGCTTTGGGTTGCTTCTCTATCTTTTGCCTTGTCCTTTCTTTTCCTTTCCTCTCCTTTGTCCTTTCCTTTCTCATTTCCTTTCCCTTCTCATTTCCTTTCCCTTCTCATTTCCTTTCCCTTGTCCTTTCCCTTCTCCTTTCCTTTCCTTTCCTTTCCTTTCCTTTCCTTTCCTTTCCTTTCCTTTCCTTTCCTTTCCTTTCCTTTCCTTTCCTTTCCTTTCCTTTCCTTTCCTTTCCTTTCCTTTCCTTTCCTTTCCTTTCCTTTCCTTTCCTTTCCTTTCCTTTCCTTTCCTTTCCTTTCCTTTCCTTTCCTTTCCTTTCCTTTCCTGTCCTTTCCTTTCCTTTCCTGTCCTTTCCTTTCCTTTCCTGTCCTTTCCTTTGTCCTTTGCCTTTCCTTGCCTTTCCCACCCCACTCCTCCCTTGCCCTGCCTTCCTTGCCTCCTCCTCCTTTGCCTTGCTTTGGGTTGCTTCTCTATCTTTTGCCTTGTCCTTTCCTCTCCTTTCTCCTTTCCTTTCCCTTCCCTTCCCTTGTCCTTTCCCCCCCATGCCATCCCTGCCCTGCTGCCCGCCCTCCCCACCCTCCCTGGGCACCGGTGCCACCGCAGTAGCCAGCAGCTGCCCTCAGGATCCCGGCGTTAGGGATGTTCCATTTCCCTGTGCACAGTCACCTCCTCGGGAGCTGCAGGGCCGCAGGCAATGCCCAGCTGGGATCACAGCCACGCTGAGCTGCTCTGTGTCCCTCGGGGAAGGGTCCCTGTGCCCGCAGGGACAGGCACAGCCAGCACCTCAGCTCCTGCAGGGTGCTCAGGCCCTGCCACGCCAGGGGACTGCAGTGCCAGGACTGCTCCCAGGGCTCTGCTCCCATCCCCTCCCAGCCCCTGCCCTGGGCAAGAGCAAAGAGGGTGATTATTTCCTGCTTCAGAGGCCATGCCACAGCTACTGCTGGGATGGAAAACTGGAAAAAGTAGACACATTTTAACACCCTCATATCCACTTACCTCTTCTCCTGCTTGGCAGAGCAGGGGACCAAAAGCGCTGCTCTGGAGTCCCATCAAAGAGAGCTGCAGACTTTGAAGGTGATCATGAAATGCACCTTTCATCAATTTCTGCCCTCTTATTTTGCTCAAAAAATCATTCTAATGCCCAGTTAGCAAAAAATCTGCATCCCCAAGGCAATAAGGAAGAGGTCAGTTTTCCTCCTCTCCCTCCAGGATGCAACCATTTGCAGTGGCTGAGGCTGGATCCATCCCCAACAGGCACACAGTCTTGCACCTTGTGCAGGGTTGATCTGAAAACACCGGCACCAGGAGTCTCTTTTATCTCTGCTATCAAAGGTTTACCTTTCACTTTCCCCTTCAAAGCCTTAAATTCCACTTGCTCTAATCTCACTGAGCATCCACGCAGCAGGGAGTCCAAAGGAGCAAACAGAATTTCTCAGCCTTGGCTGGGCTGTGGTCCCTGGGCCAGCACCCAGCAGCACAGGACGTCACCCTGCTCCTGTCCCCACAGCACAGACTCCAGGTGACAGCTCACCAGGAGCACTGGCAGCAACGTGCCCCCCTTCCAACTCTCTTTTTGCTTCCTGCCTGCAGCTGCCTCCAAAAGGAACATGGGAACTCCAGGAGCTGCTCCCTCGAGCACCATTGTGCACAAAACACTTTATTTGCTGCGCACGTCGTTGTGGCAGTGGCCCTTGGGGACACCCAGCCCTGCCACGTGTCCTGCCTTGGGACAAAGCAGCCAGCAGGAGGAGGCAAGGAAGAGAAAAAAGGAAATAAAAGCATCACTCCGACAGGGACATTAACCAGAAGCTTTTCTACTCAAGATTCTCCCTCAGCCAGGGCAGCTGGGGCTGAGACACCCACGAGCAGCCACAGTCCTGCTGCCAAGGGAATAAACCTTACCCCTTCCCACTTACTGGGGCATCAGGATCAGACTCCACAGAAAAGAAACACGTCCAGAACACACAGAGTTTATTAAAATACGCATTTTGAGGTCAGTGTTTCCAGATTTACATCAGCATTTATGCCTTACATTGAAGTCATACCTTCCACACCCTGCCAGTTACCAGCAATGAGAACACATCCAGCTGGACCACCTCTCCTCCAAACACATTCAAGCCACAATTTGAAGGTGGTGTGCCTTCCCAAAGTCATCCTAAAATAAACCCCAAACACAAGTTTCCTCCAAAACACATTAACACCTCTCAAAGGAGAGAAAACAAACAATTTACCTCATTTCCTGGCCCGACTCACACCCCCTTATACAAACAGGTGTGCAAGGTCCTCTGGTGACCCTGACCACAAGTCACAGGAGCCACGCATCCTGCACATCCACCCTGCCACAGCACAGCACACCGAGCCCACCACAGCACCCTGGCCCTGGCCTGCCATACATGCCAGCACTCTCCTCAGCTCAGCAATCAGCCTCAGGTTCAGACCTGCAATTACTTTGGGACAGTTATTTATTAGTCACCGTCCAGCTGCCAGATTTCCAGTCACAGACGCTTGATGCGGTGTCAAGCAGAAAACACCCGAGCACTGATGTCTGTAAATAAGCTATTGGGACATCTGGATGACATGTAGGTCCAGCTATAATTAGGTATAGGTGACACAGAGAGGTCCTGTTAAGCCTTGCCAAAACCTGCCCCCAGGGCCTGCATGCATAACCACAGCAGATGTGCTGGATGAACCACCAAAAACATCTCAAAGTCACCTCAGAATCAAATGTTACTAAACTCTGGAGAAGGAAACAAACAGAAAAAGCTGTTAAACTGAGATTGTTCACAGCTAAAGAGCATCTGGGTCAGGATTTTCCCTCACCGTGTTCTTGCATCATCACTGAAGTTGCAGCTTGGCAGCAAGACCTGGGAGAGACACTCCTCCACTCCCCTGTGCCACAGGGAGCCTAACAAATATCTATTTTCCCTGACTGTTTGGTGCTATCACTGTTGATATGAGGTTTTATAATCCAGAGAGTCACCAGGGGGAGGTTTCCCATGTAAAGCTCTCTGGGAAAGAGCCAAGCCCAGATGTCAGCAAGGCTCTTGCAGTCACTTTGGATCTGAACATCCAAACCGGCTGTGCCTGCAGGGATGGGAGCTCCTGGCCCCTCCAGCTCCACTCCTGGAAGAGGGGCTCTGGCACAGGAGGCCCAGCAGCACCACCTCCCCCCAAACAGCAGTTGCACAAGGAAGAAAAGAAAACCCAGCAGAAGTTTAGAAATACTCAGTCACTCTACAGAAGGTGAGGAACAGACCACAGCAGCTGGCTGAGAACTTTTATGGGGTCAGAGTTGAGATCTCCAAGGTGGGGACCAGGGGACCAGGCCCACCAGAGGCTGTGGCTGTGACAGGACCCCACACCCACCAACACCCAGCTCCTCAGGTTTGCATCTCCCCTGGCAGCCCGAGGGCAACTGCACAGAACAGACACCTCCTGTGTCAGCCACCAGGCTCTTAGAAGACCTCAGCTCTCCACAGCAGCTTCTCACACCTTCACTGTCACCATGGCCTGAAGGACACAGATTCTTGAGGGCCCACAGTGCAAAAAGCAGTCCTAGTCAAGAAAATGTTTCACTGCTGGCAAGTCCACGAGAAATGCTCCTGTCCCTGCCCTCAGCCACCCTGCCAGGGTGAGCAGGGGAGGTTGGGCACAGGCCGTCATCTTCTGAGCCAGAGCCACGTGTTGATGAGGCAAGCAGAGATCATCACGGAGTACAGCAGGGCCTCCTTCTGTCTCCAGGCGTGGCACTGCTCCTCCAGCAGGCGCAGCCTCCCCGAGATCCTGGCCAGCTGCAAGGGAAGCAGGGGGGCACTGTCAGCACCCCAGAGCCCAGCACAGCAAGGGATGCACAGATGGGAGCTGCTGCTCCTTCAGACCCTCCTTGTCTAAAGCAGCAGCTACCTTTTTGTGGGAGGAGTGGCAGCAGCACCTCAGGCCTGCAGCAGATGCTTCAGGAAAAGATTCTTCCCATCAGAGAGCATCTGAGCCCCTCTGACTGCCGCCAGAGGGGTCTGGCTGGGTCCTGCAGCCCCTCAGGGTAGGAGCTCGATGGATCAAGACACATGTACATCCTGTCCTTAAGGCAGGACCAGCCTGACAGCACCAGGACTGAGCAGCTGCCCCCTGCAGCCTCCTGCCCATCCCCTGTGGCTTTCCCAGCAATACCTGCAGCCCTTCACCCCCTCTCACCTGCCTTCTCACGGCTGCCACCTCCAGCACCCCGGCTGTTGCTACCGCGCTGGTGCAGTGGTGTGGAGGAAGGGTTTTAGAAGGGCCTTAGGAATGGGAAACTGAGGAAAAGATATATTTCTGTATGCCCCATTGTTTCGGGAAAGTTTCACTTCAGCATTTTGCTGTAAACCCCTTTTTCCCCACCCCTGAGCAGTTCCAATTGGACCCGACCCCTGGGGTGGTTCTGATGAGCCCATGCTGGACACTGTCTCTATTGTTTAGACCTTATCTCTTAATTTTGCTGTATAAAACTGTATCTGGGCAGTAGCCCAGTGTCTTTTGTCCCTGCAACCGTTCAGGCAATACAACCTCTCTGGACTGCACACAACTGACCTCTCTTCATCTCTTTATCCCGAATCCTTGCGGCGACCGAGGCGCACCGCCGCTCGGGCCGTGCTAACCCAGCCGCTGCCTGGTGAGCCCAGTGCAGCGGGACAGCAGCAAACCCCGGTCCCCTGAGGGGACAGCGAGCCAGAGGGGTCCCGGGGGCCCGGGGAGGGACGGGGGACAGCTGCAAGTGACCTCTGGAAGCTGCAAGTGGCGCCCAACGTGGGGCACTGCACCGGTTCGAGCGAGCAGTCTGACAGCACCAGCCCACCAGGACTGAGCAGCTGCCCCCTGCAGCCTCCTGCCCATCCCCTGTGGCTCTCCCAAAAAACACCTGGAGCCCTTCATGCCCTCTCACCTGCCTTCTCATGGCTGCCACCTCCGGCACCCCGGCCTCCTCCAAGGCGCTCTCTGCGGCTGGGATGGGCTCCTGGGAGCTGGGAAAGGAAAGCAGAGATGCAGGTGGACCAGAACTGCTGGTGGGGTGCAGCTGTCCCCCCACAAATGCAGCGCTGCCATGGGGAGCTGAGCCATGCAGGGAGTGTGTCCCCAGGCCGTGCTGCACCAGGAGAAAGCAAACAGCACCCGCACAGCACCCACTCATCCCTCCTTAACCCCAGCATGCACATTGGCACCCCTCCAGCAGGCACCCAAAGGGACCAGGACACAGACAGCACGCGCCAGGTAACAGGAAACACATGCTTGTATTTCTTTTGAGATGCAACAGAGAGAAAACATATGTACTAAGCATCCATTCTCTGTAGTCCCAGGAATTCACTGAGGGCTGGATAAAACCTCTTTAGAGCCAGCCAGGTAAGCAGGTGTCACAGGACAGTGCTGAAATGGAGGGGTGATCCTGTTTACATCAGCAGGTGAGGAAGCTGCCATCAGCTGCAGGGAGATACCATTTTTTGCTCTTGTAGCAAATTTTACCTGCAATTTGAAACATAAACAAGCAACCCAAATGTTCACCACTTGCTTCCCTCCCTGGAAACACAGGGGCCCCCACTGGAATGAGCTGCTGCACTGGCAGAGGCAGCAGCAGACCACTGATCTCAGGGGCAGTCCTGGAGGCACAGCCTCGCTGCAGGGTACACACCCTGAGTCACCAAATAAAGCAGATCCACAGTGAGAAAAATACCAATTCCTGTCATCATAGGCCAGTCCAAAGTCAGCTGTTCTGTAACCAAAACTCCCCTGTTCACACCAATAACTCACTCACGGGCTGATTCCCTAGGGGTTAACAAGCTCCTAACCCCACTCCTTGGAGACCCTGGGGAGGAGAGGGTGTTTATCCCTGTTTGCAACATGCTGATCTCGCTGAAGACAAGCCAGAAGAGCATGGAGATTCACTGAATCCCTGTCTGAAACTCCATTTGTGAGATAATACCTCCACAAAATGGAGCTGCAGTGTAAAATGACAGCCACAACAGAAAGAAAATGCAATTTTCCCCAGTAGAGAACCATGAAAAAAGGACACATCCTGCAGCTTTTCACTCAAAATCCCAGTTGATACAGGTAGACACCCTTTAAAGTAGAGACTAGAAATTGCCTTCTGGTGACTCATACCCTTCAAGAGGTCACTGTCATCCAGATATTCTAGGCTCTGTCTGAGACCAGACTTCACTGAAATTTCAGGACAAACAAGTCAGCACAGTCTTTTTGGGGTTTTTATTGTTGCATAGGGGTACAAAGCTGTCATATTGAAGGGATGTCTGCATCTGAAGGGATGTAAAGTACTAAGAAGAGGTGTTTGAGGGTGGCTGGTTTCAAAAGAAGATCAAGGCCTGGGAGAAGCCCTAGAGTCACCCCACAGCATTACAGCAGCTCTGCAGGCTACCAGGGCCTGAATGTCCTCCCCTGCTGCAGGGAGGAGCAAGAAGGTCTTTTATAGCCACTAACCAGATCTCTTGGTCATTAAGAAATGAAAATTATGTTTGAAGACAGCCTCAGCCTCCAGTTTAAGAGCAGAGCCATCACTTTGGATCCTCAGCAAGCAGCAGACAGCTGGGGAGAGAAGGCAGGATGTGCCACCGATGATGGATGCGATGGTGATGCTGGTTCTCCTCCCTTTCTGCCTGGAGCCTTTGCTCAAGGTGAATGAGGAGTATTTAGATGTTCCTCCAGGTGCTCAGCAGCCTCAGAGCAGTGGGGACACCTTAAGGCTGCAAGGATGTCTTTGAGAAAAGAGAATTTACTGCAGTGGCACAGATAAGGGTGGTGGAGATGGTTCCTCCAGCACATCTGGAGGGACTGAGGCCACTGCACAGCTGCTCCGAGGAGCACAAAGGGACACCACACCCTGGCCAGGGGCACTGGCTGTGGGATGAGTGCAGCCAGTTCATGGAAAGGCTCATTAAGAGTGACCAAGACACAGCCAAAGGTGCTGGGAGCCTACAGGAGAGGCTGTCTCAGGGACAGCACCTGGGTCAGGCCATCTGCTCTGGGTTTTGATTCCCTTCACACACCCCTATCCAACAAGCCGTGAAAGAACACAGAAAAGTTAGTCCTTGCTTAGCAGCAGCCCCCCAGCAGTGCCACAGCAGCCCTGGGTCACTCAGGGACCCGGGGGACTGGTGTTAAGCTGAGCAGCAGACTCAAGCCTGGCTGGTTAGTGAGGGGCACCAAGGCCTGGCCCCCAGAGCTGGCACACAGCACAGGTGAGAAAGGAAGTCAAGGCAGCCATGCAGGAGCATCCTGCAGCCCAGAGCTTACAGAGCTCGTGCCTGGCTGTGCCCCAGACCAGCCCTTGCAGAGGGGCAGAGCTGCTCAGGACAAGTCACCTGGACGGCACCGGGTCTCGCAGAGAGTCCTGGACACGGTGGAAGAGCACCTGGCCCAGCAGGTACATGGTCTGGAAGATGTTCTGCATGGAGTAGATCCTGCCTGCCTCTGTGAAGAGGGGGAGTGGGGCACTGGGAGCAGGCAGGGGACACGAGCCTGGCCTGGGTGCACACAGAATCACGCCTGTTACTCCCTGGTCTCGCACAAGAGGGCATAGCCTGGCACTGGGCACTGCCCCTCACCCCTTCAGCAGCTCCAAGCATCTCTGGGCAATGGCACTGGCACCCAGAGCCCGATGGCATCAGAGAGGGAGAACCCTCTCCAGCAGCCCCCAGGCTCAGGGGCACCCCTCATTCCTCCAAAGCCAAGCATGGCTGTGTGCCATGCTGCTCTCCTGCCGCCCAGGGCAGATCTGGACTTGGAGTGGGACAGCAGTTCCTGCCCCAGGACCAGCTCAGAGACAATTTCCCCACTGCAGAGACTCTGGAGCCCAAGGCCATGAGCAGAGGCCTGGGGAACAACACAGCTGCATTCAGAGCTGCCCAGCACAAACATCTCTGGCACCAAAGACCACATTCCTGCTGTGGATGAGCAGGACCTGCCAGCCACTGCATTGCTCTGATTTGGGTCCCCCATGCCCCTCCCAGGACACCCACACCAGAGAGCTTCAAAAGAGCCCAGTGAGAGGAGATGCTGCTCCCCACCCACCCTGGGTGACTCTGGGCCCATGCTCACCCCTCCTGGTGCTGTCCTGGACTGTGCAAGGCCAGCTGGGCACTGTCACTGGGGGTCCTGTCCCTCCGTGACCTGCTGCTGTGATGGCCCTGTGGGAATCAGACACAACCACGTTAGCACAGAGCTGAGCCCAGCCTGGTGCCCTGTGCAGGGCCAGGGGCAGCACGGGGAGAGCACTCAGTGCTGGGAGCTCCAGAGGAGCCCCAGCCTGGTGGCTGGTGCTGCTGCAGGTGGGGAGACATGCTCAGAGCAGGCAGAGGTCCCCAGCACGAGCCTGCTGATCTGAACTCCAGCCAGACCAAAAACCCCCAACCGAACCCGTCCAGGGTCAGCTCTCAAATTTCAGGGAGGTTAAAGCACTTGAGGAGGCAGAACAGCAGCTCCAGCAGCCAAATCAAGTCTTTGCCTGCCCATGCTTGGGACCTCTCTTTGAAAGAGTCTCACACAAGGTTAAAATCTGCTTTTGGCTCTGACCCCAGAACCCTTTACACTGCTGTGATGAACCAGCTCTGCCTCACACTTCAAGAAGAAAAACGTGTTGAAAAAGGACTTAAAAAGCAGTAGCAGCAGCCAGTGGTGGGACTGCACCTACCTTAGCCCACCCCCTGCCCACGAAATGCAGGGGATGTGGCTGGATCAAGGTGCCAGCACACAGGTGTGCACTGCTTCTGGGTCAGAAAGAGAGCCCACCATCCCTACCCCTCACTCCTAGGACCTCCTGGAAGATGCATTCTGGCTTGGGGTGACAGCAGCTATCTGGAGAAGCCCAAATTGGGGTTGCTCCCACTCCCCACCCCGTCCTGCCCGCACGGTACCGCTCGCTTGCGTCGCTGGGCGCCGGCTCTGCTGGCTGAGGGCAGGACAGGGAGGTCCCCAGAGGGGCCTGGGGACACCTGCACCACAACAGAGGGGACCGTCCTTGGCTGGGTCAACAGGACTGGCCTCAAACTGGTGTCTGATATCTCTACAGAAAGGAGAGAGAGAAGAATTAAGCCAACCTGAATGGCCTCAGGAGAGGGATGAGAGATGCACCCTGTGGAGAGTCAAGCCTGTGTTTAGTGCCAGATGAACTGAACACTATGCCCGGGGTTTTTTGGACAGCACACAGAGGCAGAGCCACTGCCTCAGGACAGCAAGGTCTGGCAAAGATGGGGCCAAACGTCCTGCATCCCAAAGCAGGGACCCTGCCAAAGGCCAAGAGGGAACTGCAAGAGACATGGAGGGAAATGCCTCCATATTTTGCTCCTCACCTGTTGGAATTAAGGCCCCTCCAGACTTCTTTTGGTGACCTTTGCCCACCTCTTCCCAAGCCATCCACCATCCTGCCCTACATTCCTGAAGAGAAGTGCCTGCATTATCTGCCCCCATCCTCTCCTCTAGCAAAGCAAACAAAAGGGGGATTATAAAGGGGTTCTATTCCCCAGGATGTTATGCCCCATCCCAAAACACAACCCAGGGCTTTACCTGCCAGAGAAATCCTCTCAGGGATGTGCATCCGAAATGAGGCAGGGACATCCTCTGTCACTGGCTTCCTGTCCCCAGGGCTGCAGCTCTCTGCCACCTTCAGCCTGCTGGGCACCTGCATCCTTTGGTTGATGGCCTCTGTGAAGTGCAGGTCACAGCGCACCCGGCTCAGGTCCAGCCCCCAAAGAGGCCACATCTGGAGGTGAAGAAGAAGGGATTACAAGGGACTTCACCCCTGGTAAGTCACAGCTGTACTAATCACCAAAGAAGAAGAACAGCCTTGCCCTGAGTGGGTCACAGCTGTGACTAATAAAGACAAGGGTGATAAAAGGGATGGGTTGGCTGGTCAGGGAGAGCATAGAGGAAGAAGACCTTGAGGAGGTAGAGGAGCCTTGAGGAAGACAGAACAATCCAGAGAGACACAAAGAAGAACAAAACAAGGAAGAGAGCTGCTGCAGGAGATCTGCTGTGAGATCAGTCTGGGTCTGATGGAGTTGGAGCCTGCAGTCATAGTGGAGCCAGTTAAAAACCCGTGGTCAGAGGAAGCAAGGAAATACTTGCAGTGATATTCCAGCAGTCAGTGTGTCAGAGAAGCCAACAGCAGGAGTTTGCTGTAGTCAGTCAGGATGGCTAAGCTGTAAAGGAGGATAAACCAGGAGCCTTTTCATGCTGTTAAATGAGAGGCTGTGTCTTGGCTCATTTCTACCCCTAACAAGAGGTCTGCTGCAACACACATCTTTGCAGATGTCCTCACGTGTCCTGGGGTTTCACACAGAGGGAAAGAAAGCTGCAAAGTGGCAACAGGAGCAGCACTTCCAAAAGTGACAACAGGGGCAGCTCTTCTTGCATCTGCACAGGGAAGCACAACATGCTGTAGGACAGCTAACATACAGGCAGAAACAACCCAAAAGACAGGCACTGCAGGAGTTGTCTGGGAAAAGGGGATGTCCCACAGCACCCAGCTGGCAGGGACAAGGCTGCAGGTGTCCTGGGAGCCATGTATGAGCTTAGCACCCACTGCCTCAACTGACAGCAAGGGTAGGGCTCAGCACACAGCTCAGTGTACCCTAAAAACTAGTGGAAAAAAAAGTATTTTCCACCCAGAAGTAACTTTTTGGAGGTCTGGGATCATATTTTTGTGTTCATATATACCTTTGAGGAAAAATTAGGTTTTCTAAAAGTAAAATGGACTTTTTTGGTGATGGGCTTCCAGATTACCACAGGAAAGGCTTTGGTGCTCAGTTTCTCTCCACACACACCCACTGCAGTGTCCCCAGGGCCATGCCCCATTCCCCCCATGATCCAGCCAAGCATGGCCTTTGCCCTGAGCAGAGGGGAGGAAAAGCACACCTCCCCTTCCTCAGCTTGGAGCAGAGCCCCCAGTTTGGCTTTCCTCCAGATGGGGAGCAGCACCAAGGAGGGACACAGCCCCCAGCTCTCACTGCTCCCGGGAGCAGCTGACAGCAGGACCAGGACATGGCATGTCAGATTATATATATATATATATATATATTTTTTTTTTTTTTTACTTAGAGATGGGGCAACTGAGAGGCATTTTAAAAACTTTTATTTTATTTTTAGTCTTATGTGAATGGTGAGACAATACAGATGTTATAATTTATGTAATCAGAAGTTAACTATTTCTTAGTTACAATACACTGTGTTTCTTGTCTGATGGGTAAATCTTTTTTTCTCTATGTTTTCTCTTGATTTTTTTTTTTTTTAAACACTAGGTGCTATCACAGTGAGCTTTAAGAATTTCTATAAACCCATTTCCTACAATGGGACATGGTCATGATCTGGGGCTTTGCAGCTCTCAGGACACACACTGTCCCTGTGCCTCTGTTTCCCTTTTGCCAAGTCCCAGGGTTTTGAGAAGTGCTCTGGGCCACAGTGTCCCAAGACTTCCATTGAGCCACACAAGCAGAGGGCAATCAATGTACACTTTTGGGAGAGGAGCCCCAAAAGTCACGTTCCTGGCTCCCAGCATATGCACTCTTTATTCTTTCCCAAAAAGCTGCAGTGAGGAGAAAATCCCAACAAGCAAGAGGTGCTGAGGCTGGAAGACCCCAGCCTAATCCCAGGGCTGCCCAGGCACTCCAAACATGTATGCACAGCACCCTGCACCCTCCTTGCTGGCACCTTTTGATCTCACTGTGCCCAAAAAGGTGCTTCTTTGCTTCTAGAAAAAATCCCCACTGTCAGAGGGGCCAGCAGCAGCCAGGGCTGCCCCCCACACCCCTCACTGCTGCTCCTCAGGGCACTGTCCCAAGCCCCCTGCAACCCTTAAGGATGTCACCCAGGGTCAAGGAGAAGGAAATCCCTGGGGAAGGATCACAGGACCTGGCCCCTGCAGCTGCCAGGCTTTGACACACTCCAGGTCCAGGAGGGTGGCAGAACCAGCTGTGCACCTGCCATAACCAGCACTTGCAGTGATCACTCACCTCATGCTGCTCCCTCCTCCTCTGTCATTAAGAACCTTTTAATTACAGCAGGATTTGCCCAGCATCAGCACTGGTGACTCCCTGCTTGCAGCCACTGCAGCCCTGTCCCTGCACTGGGGCTGTCCTGGAGGCACTGTGGGGGCCCCACACCATCCCCCCCACCCTGCCCAGCCCCAGCCCATGGCTCTCATCACACACACACTCCTGCTTCTCCCAAAAGCACAAAGAAAGTGGATTTTTGCAGACACCCCCCACTCAGAAACAGGACAGTAATTCCTGGGATGGTTCCAAAATGCGTCAGTCCCACAGGAGAAACCTGCATCAGACCCCCAGCCAGGGTACACAGCCATGGAGAGCACCAGGTTTCTCCTTCACATTTGTGGTGCTTCAGAGGAGCCAACACCCTGTGTTACATTCCCAGCCTGTTCTCTGGGAAACCAGCATATATTAATAACAGGAAATCTGGAGAGGGCAGATCTGTTCATTTTCTAATCACCTGTGAAACCACTGCAGCTCCCAAGGAACAGAGGGATGGGAGGGGATGAGAAGCAGGCTCTGAGACTAAGCTATTAAGAAACGAAAAAAAAAAAAAAATCAGCTGTCAAAATTCGTAAGAACAAAATGCTTAAGTGGCTGGATTTCCTCCTTTAACTTTCTTTAGGGCTTTTTGGAGCTCTTGCCAAGCACTCCCCACTCGCCTGGAGAGGCTCAGCCTCTGCTTTGGCACTCCTCCTTGGATTTGCAGTGACAGGGAATTTCCGGCTCGCTAAACCAGAGCAGCTCTAAGTCCCGCAAGGCACGAAAAGCTGTCCTGGGGAGGGAAACTCCACAACCTCCCTGTCCCTGTCCCTGTCCCTCCCCAGGCCGGGACAGCCCGAAGGAGGCAGGCGGGGCCCAGCCTGGCGCAGCACACCCCGCTCGGCTGTGGGGCGGTGGGGCGGTGGGGCTGTGGGGCTGTGGGGGCGGTGGGGCTGTGGGGCTGTGGGTGTGCGCCAGCCCTGCGCTGCGGCTCGGGGGGTTCCCCTCCCCTCCCCACCCGCCCGGGGTGAGCCCGCGGCCCCGGGACGGCTCCGGGCACACGGGAGGGACCGGCCGGGGCAGGCACAGGGGTGCCGAGCCCTCCCGGTGGGTCAGCCGGCCCTGCCCGGGGCTCCGGCCGCCACAGGGCCCCGGTACGGCCGTGCGAAGGGCAGCGGGACACCGTGGGGCCGGGCACTGGCACTTACTGTGTATCGCTGACCGACGCAACTCGGCGGAACCGTAAACAGCCGCGCCCGCGGCCGGGACGGGGCGGCGCCGGCGGGGGCAGCCCGGCCCCCGGTAATGGGCCCGGCCCCCCGGGAATGAGCCCGGCCCCGGTAATGAGCCCGGCCTCTGGTAATAGCCCGGCCCCGGTAATGAGCCCGGCCCCCCGGTAATGACCCGGCCCCGCGGGAATTGGCCCGGCCCCGGGAATGAGCCCGGCCCCCCGGGAATGAGCCCGGCCCCCCGGGAATGAGCCCGGCCCCCCGGTAGTGTGCCCGGCCCCGGGAATGAGCCCGGCCCCCCGGGAATGAGCCCTGCCCCCCGGGAATGGGCCCGGCCCCCCGGGAATGGGCCCGGCCCTCGGTAATGACCCGGCCCCCCGGGAATGTGCCCGGCCCCCGGGAATGAGCCCGGCCCCGGTAATGTACCCGGCCCCCCGGGAATGAGCCCGGCCCCCCGGCAATGAGCCCGGCCCCGGGAATGAGCCCGGCCCCCCGGGAATGTGCCCGGCCCCCCGGGAATGAGCCCGGCCCCCCGGTAACCACCCCGGTACCCAATAATGAGCCCAGCCTCCTCGGTAATGAGCCCAGCCCCCGGTATCCAGCCCGGCCCCCGGCATCCAGCCCGGCCCCCGGTATGCAGCCCGGCCCCCCGGTAATGAGCCCTGCCCCCGGTGTCCAGCCGGTCCCTCCTCGCTTAGAGCCGCAGCCGGTGATTAACGCGATGGGACGCGTCCTGGTGGCACCTCCGCCGGGAGCCCTCCTGTCCCCGCCCTGCTCAGCCGCGTGTCCCAACGCAGGGATTGCTGTCGCCGGGGGCAGACGCACACCAGGACCTTCCCCGTGTCCCCATGGCCGGGCAGAGCCCGCTGCCCGCAGTGCCCGCAGCCCCCGGGCCGGCACAGCCCCGGGCCGCCCTGTGCCGGAGCTAATCTCTGCCCTCCGCAGCGATAAATGAGCCCTTGGGGATTAAAGGCAGGTTTAAACACTTCTGAATGGGGACAGGGCCCGAGACCTGACCGTAAAATCTGGGTTTGAAAAGACTTAAAATAAATCCCCCGCTGCCCTAGGCTTGCTATTTAAAGGGGATTATCTAAGGGGTTTAGGAGCGCACAGAGGACGGCAGGACAACCTATGCACCTTAGTCCCCTCAGAAAACCTCTCTGCATCTCTCCTGCCGGCAGCTCAGGGCTCGCAGGACACCCGGTCAGGTTTCTCAGAGGGTCACCACACGGCCAGCTGGAGTTCGGGGCTGCAGTTGGATGTGTGGGCGTCACTCCCAAACACTAAACACTCCCATCCTCACTGGGATCGGCCCAGCAGCCGTGGCAGGGCTTAGTGGTGTCACTGTCCCCCACAACACCCTTTGTGGGAAAAAGCCACCCTGTGCCGCTCAGACCGTGAGGGTTTTTTAATAAATACCTTTTTGTTTTTGCACAGAAATATACCAAGTCTTACAGAATACAAACTGCAGGGATAATGACCGAGCATCAAAGACAGAGGATGCGGAGCACCCTTGTGTTTCCCTCCAGTGTTCTCTAGCTCTGGCCCTGACACTCCCTGGCAGCTCTCCCCATAACCCCGACCTGCTAAGGCTGGGCAGGGGACAGACGAGGTGCCAGCATGTCCTGCCCCACGAGCAGCCACGCTGGGCAAGCCTCAGCTCTGGGCTGAGGGCACCAGCTGCAAGGGCATCACTGGGCCGGGCGGGATGCAGGCCACTGATGGATGAACAATAGCCTTTTGGTGCTGGTGGAGAGGCTGGTGCTGGGTGAACACCGGGTGGTGGCAGTGCTGGGAGCTTCTGGGGGGTTGGAGGACAACCCTTGTATTAATCCATCAGACATGACTGGGGAAGGACAGCCCCGTTGCCTGGACCCTACAGGGAAAGGGGACACTGATCCCACAGCAAAGCACCTGGCTCTGCCCTGCCCTGGCAACACAACCACGCGAGCAGGCTTGGCCCCGCTCCTGACCTCAAGGCATGGTCTGTGGTCTTGTGGCTCCCACCCCTGTCAGCAGGAGTTCCATGCCACAGCCCTGGACACCAAACAGAGCCCAGCCCAGAGGTGACGGGCAGAGCGGGGTCTCGCATTCCACTGAACCTGCTCTGGAAGACAAAGAGCCCCAAAGAGAGGAGCCAGGCAGGGCAGAGAGGTTTAGGGTAGGGAGAGGGGAGGTTTGGCCTGTCTGCAGGCTCTCACCTCTGGGGCAGACACCAGATAGGCCACGCTCCAGGAGAGAGCTGAATCCCCATCACTTAAAGCCCACATTCGGCTCGGGGTCAGAGAAGACCCCCTTGGCCAGCTCTGCAGCAGCCAGGCCTCCAGCTGCTCAGCACCCACAGGGGGAATGCAGGGAACATCAGGAAAAGGCCCTGCTACTCCAAAGTCACTTACCTCAAGTACAAGACCACCACAAGCCCTTTCTCCCTTTCCAAAGAGATCTAGGCGATCAGAGAGCACCTTCTAGCTGCTCCTCCCTGATCTCCACACAGCAAATATCACTACAAACACCACAGTGTGGACCAGGCTCCCCACTCCCACTTGGCAACAAATCCACGTGGGGGAAGCACCATCTCCCCACAGAGCTGGCCCCACCAACTGCAGGGATGGACAAAAATTTGCCACACCAATCCTGCATCTCCATCACCTAATCAGAGCCCTGAGCAGTAGAACAGGGCCCAGTGAGAACATGGGGTGAGGCCGAGCAGCAGCCCAGGGAGGCAGCAAGGCTGCTCTAATCATGGGAAATGTCATGTCTGTTTGAGGGGGAGGTGAGGGAATCAAATGCACCATGGGGTGACCCCCACATTGAGCCAGGAACAAGCTGCTGCTCGGCTCTGGCTGCTACAGCACTTACGTGAGTGGGGAGTGAGGGCAGGACATGGCTGGCTGGCTCCAGAGCCATCCCACAGCCCTGCCTCACCCACCTGGGGACAGCTGTTTTTGGTTAGGAGGGTAAGGCTATTGTGTGATGGCACCAGATTGTACAGGTGAGATGGGGGCCTGGCGAACACCTGAAGGGGGTCCCAGGCACGGCGAAGGGAGGGTGGCTGGGTGAGTGTGAGTGTGTGAAGAGGCAGGAGGGAGGCAGAGCCGCTATTTGCCCGCGGCAGGGGCCGTGGCCACGATCTCTTCGTACTTGGGCGGAGGGTCACTGTAGGAGACGCTGGTCTCCTCGCCGCTGCTGCTCTCCGGGTGGCCCGTCACCTCCTCGTAGGAAGGCGGGGGCGTGGCACTGGACAGTCTGGAGAGGACGGACACAGAATGCTCTGGCGGGCACAGGGTGCCGTCCGGCTGGGGGGTGCCCCCGGCTCTGGCATCCCCAGCCCCCCGGCTGCTGGCTTCCCGCTGGCACTGGGTCTCCCCTTGGCTCTGCGACCGCTCCCGGTACACCATGACCCTGGGGAGGCTGCGGCCCGTCCGGCTGGCCAGGTAGCGGTTCTGGGCATAGGAAGGGCGGTGGCGCGTGGCCTTTTGCAGCTGGCACCTCCAGATGATGAAGAGGGCGATGACTATGAGAAGAGCCACTCCCAAGAGGGGCACTACCACGTACATAGCGTCAGAGCGCTCCGTGCCGTGCCCGGGGTCCTTGACAGAGTACACAGAGCTGGTGTAGCCTTTCCAGAACTCCATCTGGAACAGAGAAACAGCCATCACGTGCTGCAGCTCGGACAGGGACCCCAACCACCACCAGCAATAATCACCGCCCTGCCCAGGCCAACAAAAGGGGCAGCATTTTGGATGTCCCCCATTCCTGAGGCACTGTGGGAGCCAACACAGAAGGACCTGGGAACATGCCTCAATATCCCACAGCAAGCAGGGAAAATTTATTCCACAGCAAGCCCAACCTAGAGAACCATGGACAACAGCACAGATTTGCCACATGTGCCATGGGAGCGCCTCAACATGCAGCTGTGGGCAGGGAGTCCTGGCAAAAGCAAGGTGAGGCCATTGCCTGGGAAGGGAAAGCCATGCTAAGAAGTGAAGCCACAACACGCTGCCTGCAGGCAGAAGAGGACAAAGGGAAGAGGAGAGGCTGTCCCCTCGTGCTTTCCCTCTGTCTCCAGCCTGCTGAGGAGTGAGCCCTCCCACATGCACTGGGGAGCGGCGCAGGACAAACGCACCGTCTTCTCCTTGTTCTCAAACACCTCCTTGACCTCCTCATAGCTGCAGACCTCCTCGATGCACTCCCGCTCGATGGTGCCCTGCCGGATCTCCTCCAGGAAGCCATTGGCTCTGGGAAAGCGTTTCAGGAGCGAGTGGGCATTCCTGGCTCCCAAGAACACTGCAACACACAAGGCAGAGACATTCTGAGCAGGGACAGCCCCATACCTGGCCTCTGCCCAGCCAAGCTTTCTGACCCAGCTCCCTGATGCCACATGCATCCCCAACACCAAAACCCCAGGGCAGCAATCACATAGGACAGCAGGTAGGACAGCCAGAGGGGCACAGGACTCTTGGGGTCTGCCCAGAGACAGATGGCACCAGGAGCCCTCCTGTCAGGGCTGAGGTGCTAGAGACATCAGAAGCGGCAGTTGCAGCCACACAGGGCAAGTGAGGAAGAGACAAAAGGCTCCAAAAGTATTTGTTTCCAACCTTCTGCCCCTGATGGATTTAATCTTTCTGCCCCTTTGCTGCAGGGCAAAGGAGATCCCACCAGGAGAGCAAGACCCCACAGGGCTGGGACACAGAGCTCTGCCAGGACACGGGGTGAGCACCAAGAGGGACTCACAGCCCACAGTTCAACAGACTGCTGGAAGCTGTGTCCCTGCTGCCAGCTGCTCAGGGGTCATGCAAGCTCAGGTGGCATCAAGGACTCTGTTCAGGCCCCAGAGAAACCACTGTCTTCTCCCAGGCCCAGAACAACAAGGGCAAACATCCCCAAAACACAGGGACAGCACAGGGGAATATGAGTCAGGGGCCTGAGCAGCCTCTCCTCCCACAGCATCACATTCTCATCCCCACTGTGTTTTGATGCAGAGGCCTCACAAACTCTCCTCTGCTCCCAAAGCCTGGGAGACTCCTCAAGTCTTCCCGCAGCACATGCAGTCCTGAAGCCAGATGGAGCAGGAACAGCACCTTCCTGCCTGCACGAGAGAAATCAAAGCCCCTCCCGACACCCTGCAGGAGGGACACCTCCGTGGGGTGCAGAGGCAAGCACCTGCCAGGACCTGCAGCAGCACAGGAGGCAAAGAAGCTGTTTGCTCAGAGAGCAGAAACTTCACACAAAACATGATCCTTCCAGGATCCAAACACACATTTCATGAATGAGTGTTTCCACAATGCAGTGCAACACACTCAGCTGTAGGCTGGTTCCAGCTCTTCGACCAAGCCACAAAATCCTGCTGCTTCCCTTGGGAAGATGAATCAGTTCAGCTGGGTGATCCACAGGAACCTATTTACCTCCTTCACCCTCAGGCTCAGTCTTCCACTGGATCAACAAGGTGAACCCATTCACAGAGCAGCAGCATCAAAGGGGGACAGAATCTCCCAGCTGACCAGCTTGGTGCTAACAAAATACTGGCTCCACAAGCAAAACAGTCAGTGAAAAGCCACCAACTTCTTTCCTTAGGAACCTTTTGCCAGGGAGAAAGGCAAGTTTCCTTCTGCTTTACCTTCCATGTATCCTGCTGCTGAAACAATACAGCAAGGTATTTGTGAGTATTTGGAAATATCAACAGGGACAAGATCGTGGTGTAATAAACAACTACTAGTGTGCTACACCAGCCTGGGCTTGGAGGCACTGAGCTGCTTTAGTGCTGTGTAGGTGCATTTTCCCCTTGTGATTTATTAATGCCTTGCTTCTCTGAGAGTTTGCAGAGGGCTGAGCCACTGAGGTGTGAATGAAGAGCAGCATGAATGATGTGAGTCACAGATCTTCCCTCAGAATCGACTTTATTATGCAAACCATTTTTTTTTTTTACAAGGACAACCGAAAAAGCATTTTCAAGAGGCACAGAAGGCATCTTGCAGAAGGGCAGGGATCAGCTTGCCTTGGCTTTCACAGTTGAGGAGGGCTATCCTGGCTGGAGAGGGAACAGGCTGGCAGGCTGACCTTGTCTTGAGCCTTTCCAGAAGGAGATGAAATTTTACAAAGACAACATTCATTCTGCAAATGTCCCGCACTTTGCTGGAGAAGTCTGGCCTCACCTCCTTTGCCTCCCACCTTGATCAGGCTGTGGTATAAACTCTCCCCTCCTTGGCACTTGAGCCTGAGACTCGGATTTCAACTTCCTCAGCACATCTTAGAGCAACAAGCTTGGCTGCAGTTGTCACTGTCAGGGTTTTCCATCCCTGCAGAAAGCAGTCACTGGACCCGCTCCCTGCTTTGCCATGCTGAGCTGGCCACTAAGGTAGGAAATAAAAACAGACACACAGGCAGGCAGGTATCAAAAGCACTGTCCCAACTGCAAGCATGCTGTGACAGAGGTGTGTGTTTTTCCCCACATGCAATTTCCTTCAGGGACATAAAAATGGCAGAAGAGCAGAAACTCAGTCACTGCTCCCTCCCCTTGAAAGTGCAAAGAGCTCCCAACATGGCTCGGGACCAGAGCAGGAAAACCACTGGCCCTCAGGAAAGGAGCCCCTCATCTCTACTGGATCCCCAGCTGATATGAAGGGCAGATAGCCAAGCAGGTCCTGTCCCCAGACCACGGGTGAGGGGACCTGCCAGTGCCCAGCAGCCTCAGTGCTGATCCCCTGTGCCTCTCCAAGCCTCCCCACACCAGCTGGAGAACCGGTGCTCAGGAAAGATCAGAGCTTTCAGGCAGGGGAAGCAGGAGCAAGGGCTGGGCTCACCTCATCCCTGCTGGGTTTCCTGGGGTGCTGCTGGCCCCCGGAGGACACCACCCCATGTCTCAGCTGCCCTGCTTGGGGGGCACCCTGGGGCTGCTTCTCTGGGGAAGGACTGTGGCTGTGCCTGCAGGGGGACAGCCAGGGATGGCAGGGAGCGTGTGGTGGAGAATCTGCCCATCACCACATCCCCCCCCCTGCACATCAGGGTCACCATGAAGGGGACACTGTCACCACAGGGGACACCTTCTACCACCAGGACATGCTGGTGAGCCAGCATCTGAGCTCTGGGAAGGAAAAAAGGCAGCAGTGGAGGAAGACAGGGAGCCAGCTGGGCACCCTCCCCATTAATTGAAGATTAAAGCAGCCTTTTAAAAACACTGCCTGAAGATCTCTGCTCCCTCCCGCACCGAGCACAGCACAGATAAAGAAAGAAGGCATACCTGTCATCCCTGGGGTCCTCCTGCTCCCCAGCGTGGCCACTGCCTCCACCTTCACAGCTGGCTCTGGTGACACTCCGAGCAAATCCCGAGATCCCAGACAGATCTCTCCATCTCCCCTTCACTACTGCCGTCCTCCTCAGCTCCCATCACACCAGGGCACGCAGCCTCCGTGCAGGCTGCCCAGCAGAGCCAGGAGAGAGGCTTGAGCCCAGCTCTGGACAGACCACACAGCTCTCTACAGCCTCACCAGGCTCAGCCCATCTTTAGTGCTGGCCCAGCACTGCTCTGGGTGTGCCACAGCGAGCTCAGGGCGGAGCTGAGCTCGGCAGCTTCCACAGAACACAGAGCCCAGTGCCACCAGCCAGCCACACAGGGCACTGTGGCCACAGGTGGGCACTGCCAGGGTGCCAGCCACGGGCACCAGGAGCACTGTTGATGAGAGATGTCAGCGCAGACAGGCAGCCCAGAGAGCCCTGGGGAGGCCCGTCCTGCACAGCAAGCACCACACAGAGGCAGAAAGGCTGCAGCCCCCAGGTACTCCCGGGGAGGTCAGACCTTCAGCACCTCCTCTCCACTCCCACCTTGCAGAGGGGAGAGAGAAGCACAAGTCAGGCCGGACCTCAGACCTCACCAGGGCCAAAAGCCAATGACAGCTGCTCCCCACAGAGAGCAACATCCCCCAAAATGCACAGGCACCCCTTTCTTGAGAGGAGGCTGTCAAACATCCCCCTTCTCTCCTCCAACACCACCAGCACCTCTCCGTCTTGCCTGGGGAGCACTTACTTGCCATGCTGCCTCACTCGGCCACGGGGGCTCCTGCCTACCTGCAGGGAAGAAAACAGGAGAGTCACTGACAGCTTCCATTTCCAACCCAGTTTCAAAGCACAAACCCCTGTTCCCCAGGATCAGATTCATGCAGAAAGCATGCTGCTGAGCGCTGGACCCACGACAGATCCCAGCCCAGCAGTGCCCCTGCAGACAGCCAAGGATTCCAGCTGCCTCCCTGCTCTTCCCCTGCCTGGAGGGGCTCAGGGCACCCTCAGCTCCCAGAGTGCTGGGGCAGGTCCCATGGAGAAGCAGGGCCCTTGCAGACCAGCGAAGCGGGAAGGGAAAAACTGGATGAAGGATAGACCCCATTTCTCACCAGCAGACAAAATGACCTGCATGTCAGAGACTGCTGGGAGCAGCCTGGTGCTCTTCCCCTCCACAAGAGAGTGATGGATACAGGTGAAGCAATCATCTTATTTTAGAGCAACTTCACAGACGTGCCAGTTCTCACTTCTGCAACTCCTACCCACAATCTGGTTGTTGGGCCAAGCTAAGGGCAGCAGCAAGAGTGACAGAGCTGCCTGCACAGCCAGGACAACAGCTCTCCAGACAGACAAGCACTCTTTGTGCTTCAAAACAAAACTAAACACAACAGAAGTTCAACAAAGCCCTGCAGAAGCAGAGGATAACTGCTTGTTTTCCATGCTTTTTCTTCTCCCTGTGCTCAATGCCCCACAGATCAGACTGCCCCGGGCTGACTATTGCTGTGTGTAACACTTGCTGTGACACCTCTGTCAGGAGACAGAGGGGACAGGACTGCCCCAGCTCCTGCAGGAATTTATTGCAGATGAAGGAGCAAGCATGGTTAGAAACAGCAGGAACTGCAGGAACACATGCTGATCTCAGGCCCAGGGCTTTAGATATCCACTTATTCCAAAAGCACTTGGACCTGCTGTGCTGGAGTGAGGTCAGGGACAGCACAGAGCTGTTCACAGGGTCAGCAGGGCTGGAAACACAGTTCTCCTTTCACATAAAAGGCAGGCACACAGAAGGGCTGATGCTGCACACCAGCACACCTCACAACAGCCACCTTCCAGTAAACAGAGCACCTCTCCCTGCCAACACCAGCTTTGCTGTGCTTTCCAAGGCTCCTACACCATAACGTGGCAAGAGGGCATGCAAGCCTGGAGCTGTGTCCTGAGAGAGAAAGCAGCTTCTTCCTAAGTTTGAGTTTGGGAAGCTCAGATTGCAAACCTCATTCTGGAGTTGAAGCAAGAGCGAGGGAAAGCAGCAGAGCACCAGAAGTACACGGGAGAGGTCTGCTGCCTCCAGTGCCCCACAGCCCAGTCCTGCTTCTCTGAGCCCTTCTGGGGGATGTGAGAGGCCTCTGGATCCATGAATTCCCCCACAGGCTCTGAGCAGGGACCACCTGACCCACTTCTGCTGTCATCAGTTTTTACAAAGAGACCCAAAGCCCCAGGATAAAAGAAAGCACAGCACAGAGAGCATGCCACAGTTTCCACACAAACCCTCCTTGTTAGAGGCATTCTCCCGCTCTGATGGACAGGAGAACAAAGACACAGAAAGAAGGATATTCTCACATCACACATCAGGCAACAAATTTAATGCTGTTAAATTTAATTTACACTCTTTTACTTTCTTCCATGTATCTGTGTCAATGCACCCGGTGCCACAATCAGGGAGGTGCACACAAGCCTCCGAGCACGAGCAAGGCCGGTGAGAAGGGCAGACGTCCCAGATGCTTATTTTTATTTCCACATGCAAATTCCTGGCCACCTCCCCTGGCTCCAGCGAGCAGGAAAAGCTGGAGCAGCGCACACATTGACGCCAAGGGGAGCAGCATCCCTCCTGCCCCCACACAAGCCGAGAGAAGCCTGAAGCTGGAGGCTGACCTAGCAGACGCCCACCCATTCCCGATCCCCCCGCTCCGGCTTCCCATCCTCTATAAATACCCCATCGATAGGAGGTTGCTAAGGCAACCGTGAGGAGGCGCGAGGGATGCAGCCATGGGAGTGAGGATGCTGCAGTCGCACATTTGTGTCTCCCCCAGGCTCCCCCATCTCCGCCCCCGCTCCCGTCACTGCTGCCAGAGGAGGAAACCGTGCCGGGAGAAACGGAGCCCGCGGGGACCCGGGGGTCCCACTCCGGGAGGTGGCACGGCCTGGACGGGCTGAGGGTGGCACAGGCACGGGTAGGGGATCACAGCCCCAGTGACGGCCACGGCGCGCAGGAGGATGCTGACTGTGCCAGCATCACGTAGCCGCCGTGCCAGCGGCTCAGCGGATCCCAGCGATGCTGGGCTCCTCCGTGCCAAGGCGCACGGAGAGGAGAAGAGGCTACACCGGCTACGCTTGAGAGGGCAGCAAGCCTCGCCCTCCCAAAGCAGCCTCCACACCCCACCCTGCTCCCTGGCTGCTCCTCACGCTGCCCTGGCAGCCCCAGCCCGGCCCCTCCGTGCCCAAACCCAACCCCAAATGATCCCCACTGCGCTCAGCTTCCAGAGCCACCCACGGCAGGGACCCCCAGGTCGTGTCACCCTGCAGCAGGGACCCCCAGCCCACCTGCCCAGCTGTGCAGGGGCTTTCCTGTGCCCTCTCAGCCTCCAGTGCCACCCCACGGCAGCGCCCGCAAGCCTAAGTGTCACCCCACAGCCGAGACACCCAGCTCCCCTGTGACCCCACAACAGGGACCCCCAGCTCCCCTGTGACCCCACAACGGGGACCCCCAGCTCCCCTGTGACCCTACAACAGGGACCCCCAGCTCCCCTGTGACCCCACAACAGGGACCCCCAGCTCCCCTGTGACCCCACAACGGGGACCCCCAGCTCCCCTGTGACCCCACAACAGGGACCCCCAGCTCACCTGTGACCCTACAACAGGGACCCCCAGCTCACCTGCCACCCCATAGCAGAGTCCCCCCGCCTACCTCTCACCTTTAGCTCACCTATCACCCTATAGTGGGGTCCCTTCCTCACCTGTCACCCCACAGCGGGGTCCCCCAGCTCACCTGTCACCCCATAGATGGGTCTCCTTCCTCACCTGTCACCCCATAGATGGGTCGCCTTGCTCACCTGTCACCCTACAACAGGGACCGCCGTGTCACCTGTCACCTCACAGCGGGTCCCAGCCCACCTCCCCGGCTGTGCGGGATCTCTCCAGCCCCACCCTCCGCCCCACCGACACGTCTCCGCCGCTCTGCTGTTCGCCACGCGCCCAGCCAGCCCGCCCGTGCCGGGGCTCCCGGCCCCAGCCCGCTGCCCCCGGCCCGGCCCGAGCCGCCCGGCTCCGCGCTCTGCCCCGGTACCTCATGGCGGCCCCGCGCCCGCCGCAGCCGCTCCCTCCCTCCCGCCGCCGGGCAGGGCAGCCAGGCCCCGCCCCCGCCACGCCCCCTCCCGCCCCTCGGCCAATCGCGCGCCTCCGCGCCCCGCGCGCCCCGCCTTCCTCCTGCAATGGGGATTGGGTGGGCGGCAGGGTGGGCGGGGCCAACGCTCCTCCCGCTGCGCGGGACGGATCGACAGCCAATCAGAGCGGGCCGCGCCGGCCGGGAGGGGCCGCGGTGGCCGCTGGGAGTCGTAGTTCTGAGCCCCGCCGAGGTCCCGCGGAGCGCGGGCGCGGCCCCGGGGGCTGCCGGAGCTCCGGCGGGCCCGGCCCCGCTGCCGCCCGCAGCGCTGTCTGCCTTCCGCCGCCTGTTGCCTCACGCCGGCCTGCTGAGGCTGCCAGCATTCCGCGGGTGTCCCGCGGTCACATCTCCCGTCGCTTCCTCCTCTTCATCATCCCTCTCTTCTTCTTCCTCCTCCTCCTCCTCGCTGCCCGAGTCCTCATAAAAGAAGAGGGTGGCCTGCACCGGGAAGTTCTCCAGCAGCTTCTCCCCCACGCTGTACAGGTGGTCAAAGGCCTTGGACTTGGGCCAGAGGAGCCTGTGTGGGGAGAGCCGGGGTGAGCCCGCCCGCCGTGCCCGCCGCGCCCGCCCGGGGCCCGGGGCCCGGCACGTACCTGACCGGGTGCTGGAAGAACGGCAGCGCCTTGCCGGGACCGCCGTCCCCCTCCGCCGCCCGAGCCTGGGGAGACACAGGCGGGTGGCACCGGGCTCCAATGCCCTGCCCTGCCCTGCCCGCCGGGCTGGCACCGGGTGCCGCGGCCCGGCAGCTCCCCCGCCTCTGGCATCCACCCCGCACCCCTGACAGGCTGGCAGCCAGGGTAATCTCTGCCCCGTGCTCCAGAGGGGTGCCCAGGCATCCCGCTAAGGCCCCGAGGAATGCCCAGCCTGGGAACAGCCCGGGCTGCGGGGCCCTGTGCCCCGGGGCTCGCCCTGCCCACGGCGGGTGATGCTCCGGGGCAGGCGGGCACGGCACGGCCGTGGGACAAGGGACTCCGCGGGACACAGTGAGCCTCTGGGGCGACAGGCTGCTTTTCCCCAGCGGGAACCCCACGGGCGTGGGGACAGACACAGCGGGGAGTGCCAAACTCACAGCGTCCATCTCCTGCCGCGTCGCGGGTCCCTCCTGGGCTCGGGGCAGCCACGGCCTCCAGAGAGGAAAGGTTCTAGGAGAGAGAGCAGCTTCAGCCCCACAGCCTCACCCACCCGAGCAGCACCCTCTGTCCCACCCGTGGCCGCTGGGATCAGAGCACCCATCACCGCACCTCACCCGAACCCGGCTGGAGCTTCCCCAGCCCCCGATGTACCTTGTCCCTTGCTCCAGCCCCGGGGGGATGCTGGCACTGGCCAGCGGCGCTGGGAGCCCGTGGGCAGTCAGGCAACAGGCAGCAGCTTGCATGGTGGCAGGAGACGCTGTCCCTTCTGACACCGCCGAACCTCGGTGGGGACACATTTATAGCTCAGCCTCGGCCGTGACTCACAAATTCTTTGGGGCAGGGGAAGAGGGGATGGGGCTGTGGGGACAGCAGTGTGAAATTTGTCCCAGTTGTGTAAACAGAGGGCCGGGGGGAGGCTGGGGGCGGAGGGGCTGCGATCTCTGGTGGAAAAGCAAAACACAAAAGGGAAAATTTGGACACCATTTGTGAGAAAATCCCCGGGGGGGAACAGGGGAGGGTAGAGACAATTAACAAGGATGATTAAGTGCTCTTTGTATCCATTTGCATAAGGGAGGCAGGGGAGATGGGAAAGGGATGGGGAACGGAGGGGTGGCATGATGGGTATGGGATTGGGACAGTGCAATGGGCTGAGTGTTGGGCATGCCATGGGCACAGTGTGCTGGGCTTGTGTTGGGGACAGCACAAAGGGCATGATGAGACTGATGGGCTACAGTGGTGGCAAGCACAGAGGCACCAGGAGGCAGCTGATAGCTCCAGAGAGGCTCAAGAGCAGACAGGGAGGGAGGACCCGTGGCAGGGATGGACCCCAGGCACTATCAGGGCAATGGTCTTGCTCAGGCATCCATGGCCCATCACCCCAGGGAGCTGCCAGATCCCATTTCCACGGATGGGAGAGCAACCACTTACCAGTGTTCCCTGCCCTTTCCTTTGAGTTTTTGAGATGTGGGCCACCCCAGGAGGTACAGAAAAGCTCCTCGATGTGAGGGTGCAAGGCTGATGCAGCCCCTGGCTCCAGCAGGGCCACTCATCCCACCCCTGCCCACTGCTCCTGCCCAAGCACTCAGAGAAAAGTGCCACTGGCAGTCACCTCCTGCTCCTGGGAGAGTTTCAGTTTGGGACAAGGAAAGAAAATAGCAAATGGTCCCTGGTGTAGCTCTGCTATCAGCATCCAAACATCACTGTCCAAACGCTGGCCGGACCCTGCTCAGCTCCAAGCACAATTTGTCACCAGAGGCCCTCCCTGCCCCTCTCCATCTGTGGCAGCCGGTGAGCAGGAGGGGGCACAGGGCCAGCACAGCTCTCATTACCTTCCCCATTTGCTCCTCATTTGGGCCAGTAGTCTTACAACAACAAACCCCGTGGAGGACAAGCAGGGCAGGAAGAGTAAACCAAAAGTTCAGGCTGAGGAGTGGGGAGCTCAACCTGCTGGTGTTTCACTGCCCCTCAAACCCCAATACAGGCAGGACAGCCCAGAGTGGACACATGGATGGTGGCACAGTCACATGCTGTCCAGAAGGATGACAGCAAGCCTCAAACCTGAACCCATTAGGTGAACCTACCCCAACAATTCATAGACAACCAGCAAAGCAAGGCATCCCAGCTCCCCAGTCCTTCCCGACACCCAAAGGGTTTAATTCTGATCTGCAATAAGCCTCTGATCCAGGAGATTTGCAGGTGGATTGTGCAAAGCTGTAGCTGAACAAGCACTGAACAGCCCTGGCTGCTCACCCTGCCCCAGGCAGCCACCTCCAGTCCTGGGTGACCCCCGGCTGCAGCCACCCCGGGTCCCCCCCTGCACCTCCAGCCCCCTCCGTAAGTACCACAGAGCTCCCTCCCTCCCTCCCTCGCCTTTCTGCCAGCACCCTGAGCACCCTGAGCACCCCGAGCACCCTGAGCACCCCGAGCACCCCAGGTGTTTCTTTTCCAGCAGCTGAGATGGTGTGGGAGGTCTTGGTTAGAGCACAGGAGAGGAGACAGACAGCTGGGAAGCTTTGGTGCCAAGCACTGGAGGTGGCAGGGGGGGACAGGAGCAGGGGAGGCGCTGGGTGGTGGCAGCACGCTCAGCCAGGAGCGTTCCCAGGGAGAGGGAGGCCACTGGCCGCCGTGCCGGGCTCAGCCCGGTTTCGCAAGGCACCACAGAAGGAGGAATTTTTAAACAAAGCAGAGGGAAAACAAACCAACCCTTTCCACCACCTCTGCCAACCCCCCCTGCCTGTGTACAGGGCTGTGGGCAGGAGGTGGCACCGACACAAAGTCCCAGCATGAGCTGCACCCCGAGCTGCTCACCCCTCCGCAGGACAGGTCACCCCGCTTGGCTGGTGAAGCGTCCCAAAGGAGATGCCAGCCCTGGTGTAATTCTGCCCTCTGTGGGCCTCCAGGCTCTCCTGGGGATGCAGGTGTCACTGTCAGACGCATCCCTCTCCGTCCTTGTCCCCAGCAGCACAGAAAGGCCGATATCCATGGCTCAGTCTCAGGTGGCCATGTCCCTTTGTCCCAAAGGAGCCTTAGCAGCTCGGGGTGGGTCGTGAGTGACTGCAGATGCCTTGGGTGAGCCCCACGCAGATGGGAATGAGGTGCCATCCCCTCTCCTCAGCTGGGGGATCTTTGGGTTTACCACCTGAAGTCACCTCCAGCGAGTCCCAGATAAGATGGTGCAGCCATAGCTTTTCGGCTTCCTCAGAAGACAAGGGAGCTGGAGGAAGGCAGCGGGCACTTTTCCCCAGCAGAGCTGGCTCTCCATCCTGCCCGCGGCGTCAGTGCAGGGGAGGGCTTTGGCGTCCTTCCTGGGCAGCACTGCTCTGCCCCCGGAGCCCGGCTGGGGAGATAGCGGGGGTGAAAGGGCGCCTGGCGCTCCCCCACGGGCTTGGGTCAATCGTTAATCGGGGAGGGATTGCTTTCCCCTCCCGCAGGTGACCTCCCCGCGCTCCCACCCCGCACAAAACCAGCACCCCCGGCAGCGGGGTGGAGCTGCAGCGCTGCGAGCAGAGCCTCTCCCAGGGCCATGGGAACGTGAGCGCACGGGAGGGACCTGGGCCACAACCGCCAGCCTTGGGCAGGCGACAGAGCGACAGCCAGCCCCCACCATGGTGTCCATGGGGCTCCAGCTGCTGGGCTACGCCGTGGCCTTCCTGGGCTACATCGGCACGCTGACGGCCACGCTGCTGCCCAGCTGGAAGACCAGCTCCTACATCGGCTCCAGCATCGTGACGGCCATCAGCTTCACCAAGGGGCTGTGGATGGAGTGTGCCACGTACAGCACGGGCATCACCCAGTGCGACATCTACAGCTCCCTGCTCAACCTGCCCGCCGACATCCAGGCGGCACAAGCGCTCATGGTGAGCTCCTGCGCCGTGTCCTCCCTGGCCTGCCTGCTCTCCGTCGTGGGCATGAGGTGCACCGTCTTCAGCCAGGGCTCGCCGGGCAAGGACCGGGTGGCCGTGGCGGGCGGCGCGGTCTTCGTCCTCGGGGGGCTGCTCTGCTTCATCCCGCTGGTGTGGAACATCCACGTGGTGCTGCGGGATTTCCGCAACCCCGTCATCCCCGACAGCATGAAGTTCGAGCTCGGGGAGGCTCTTTACCTCGGCATCATCTCCTCCCTGCTGTCCCTCGTCGGCGGCTTGATCCTCTGCGCCTCCTGCCCTGCCCGGGACACCACCACCGCCTACTCCAGCGCCTACCAGCCCCAGCTGCTGGCGAGCAAGAGCTCCCGGCCCTCTGTCAGCCAGGTGCAGAAAACCAAGAGTGAAGTCAATTCCTACAACCTGACGGGATACGTGTAGTGGCTGCAGGGGGAACCAGGCTGGCGCCTCTCCCGGCTCCCCAGAGCGTCCGGGCTGGCACCAAGGGAACGCGGTAAGAGCAGAGGGCACGGCGGCATCGCCCGTGCTCAGCCCTCTCATGTGCTTGGGGGGCTGACCCCGCTCTCTCCCTGGGATTTTGAGAGCCTTGTGACTGCTTGGAGATCCCAGCTGGTGGCTTACACCGGTGAACGGCCCTGAATCCGGCTTCTGTTCTTTACTCCACTGGCACGGCGGGAGCCCAGCCTGCAGCCCCAGTGAACCTGCCTGGAAAGGGGAGGGGGCTTGTGGCCCCAGGGACCGGCTGCTGGCCATGCAGGCATCCCAGCAGGGTCAAGGGCATGTGCGTGGGTCTGCAGTCGCTGCTGGGGGGGGTTGAGTGCTGGTTGCAAACCGATGTCGCAATAAATACGTCTTTCTAGCCAGACTGTATCCGGGCTTTTCTCTGGCACCGAGGGGCCAGCAGGAAGCTGGGGAGGGGGCCAAGATGTGAAAGGTGCCCCTGGCCCTTGCTCTGGCCTGCCTCCCCCACCCCACAGCGGATGGCTTTGTCACCGGGAGCCCAGGCAGGTGGGAGCACTGCTGAGGGGGAGGAGGGCCACTCCCTGGCACAGTTTGTCCCTGGGCACCACGCTGGGAGGTTGCCACGCACCACTACTGCCAGGGTGCCAGCAGGGACATGCAGAACTCCCTGTGGGATAATAGCAGGCAGCACCTTCCCTCTGTCCCCCAGCCCTTCCTGCTTCCAGGACTGCAGGTGTGATGAGACTGGGATGCCCATGGGGGGATTCATTGCCCCTGTGTGTGGCACACCCAGGTCCCCAGGTGGTGGGCAGCCCTGGCATTCCCACATCCCCATCCCAGTGAGCACTGGAACTCCTGGGGCAAACATGATCCCAAGGACCAGAGGCAGCTCCCAGCTATGGTGGAGTCTGAGCAGCCCAGCTCAGCTGCAGAGAGGCCTCACAGGCAGGTCCTGAGCCCCAAGGTCCTTGAAGGGTCTGTTTTGAGAGAAAAATGCCACCAGTGAGACACTGGAGAGCTGCAAGGGATGGGCAGGCAGGAGCCCACTGTGTGGAGGGACAGGCTGCGTGGCTGCAGGGGAACAGCAGCAGGACATCCACACAGGCTGCTGGTGGCACTGGGGGATGCTGGCACATGCCAGGCCATGGCAGGAGAGGAGGTGCAGGCAGCCCAGCCCCACAGCCCACCAGGGAGCAAGAACATTTTAATCCATCTGCTGTACCACTGCCCACGTGAGAGAACCCCAGCTCTGCTGTGCCACAGCACAGGGCCACCCAGAGACCACCTTGTCCCCCAGGGAGAAGGAGGCCTTGGTCTACCTGCTGACCCCTCATAAAGCAATTTAGATTAGGGCATGGAGAGGAAGGGACCATGTCCTCCACTCCAACGTCACCACCGTCACCCTTGCACCAGTGAAATCATGTTTGCTGTGGGGTTAACACACTCCTGATAACGCTGGGCCACCCTTTCTCCCCTCCTCAGAGAGAAGGAGCTACAGGGGACCCATCCCCAGGGTGACACTCGCTCATGGGACCAAGGTGGATCTCAAGGCAAGGGCCAGTGTCCCCATTTCCGTGGCCAAGGGACAAAGCACAAAGCACAGTGTCAACCCCGGACCAGCTGAGTTATTTATTCCTGCCCTGGGGAAAAGAGTGCCCTGGGGCATGCAAGAGGCTTAACCCGCTGGTGCAGTCCCCCAGGAGATGTTGCAAGTTCTGAGGGTCCTTTGGCCATAAATGTTTTTTTTCTGGGCAGCTGGTGGAGAGAGTGGGAGAGAAAATAGTTGGCACAAAAAGTCACACCTTAAAGAGGAGAAATTCCTGGGCACTGGGTCCTCGCCCCTCGCCTCCCACCCCTGTCTGCGGGCAGAGGCCGTGCTAATTAAACAAAGGGGCATTTGAAACACTCAGAGCTTGATTGGTGCTGGGCTTATTAATGCTTTAATTCAAGGAGCAGAAGGGAAGCTTCCCCCAGAAGGAGAAAGGCAGCTGGCACAGGCAGAGGCAGGCAGGGCTCAGAGCTGGGGGACAGGAACACCCATCACACTGGAACAGGGACCAGTTCCCCAGGCCCTGGGCCCCCAGCCCTGCCACGGGCACCCCTGCATTAAGCAGTGGGTGGGTTCAGCGAGGGGAACGATTCTCCCCTCCAGCTTTCCTGGCCTTCAACGTGAATGCAGCCAAAGGTGTGAAACTTGGCTACAGGGCAAGGCAGGCTGACACTGATTTTCCACTGGGGAAGGAGGATGGGGAAGGGGAGGGGAGGACACGGTGCACAGCTGTGGTGGCAGTGGTTATCTCTGCATCACGCAATAGCCATGCTCCTCATCATTGATAAAGGTTCCTGAGGGCAGCCTGGACTGGGCCAGGCTGGGGACAGAGAGAACAGGAGCCCAGCCTGTCTCAGGGGCAGCTCTGCTGAGGCTGAGCGTGAGTGAAGGAATGGAGCCTGTCAGCACAGCACAGAGCCAGCCCCTCAGATGGCCTCCTGCCCCTCACCAGCTCCATGGCAAAAGCTGAGGGTGCTCCAGGATTCCCTGCAGGAAAGGCACAGGGGAGCACAGCCAAGTTCAGGGCAAGGTGGGGGAAGCAGGGGTGGGAAGAGGGCGGGGTGGGGAAGGGCTCTCTGCATCTCAAGCCCTTGCCTTGCTGGTGTGGTGCAGTGGGGAGCCTTGCAGCCCTCACTGGAGGGCCAGGCTGCAGTGACTAATCCCCTGCCATAAGGAAATTAATGCTTCCCCCCTCCTCTTCTCCCTCTGGATGATGCCTCGATGGAAGGAACAGGGCAATAAAATACTAATGTGCCCTTATCTTCAAAAGTGATAGAGGCACTATGAACACTCAGTACACCCCAACCTGAGATCAGGGACTGCAACCTCATCGACTGGTCACAAGAAACGTGCTGAAAGTCACAACTTCTTCTTCCAAAGAGGGAACAACACAGCCCATCTCCACAGGCCCTGCATCCAGCCCTTGCCCACCGAGCACTGCCCCAGGCGCAAGCAGAGCCTCTTCTCATGCAGAGCACTGGGCAGGCATGCCCAGGTGAAAAAGGGCACAGGTTTGCCCTAGACCCACCAGGATCACACACCTCCTGCCTCCCTGGAGCCCTCCAGCAAGCAGAGCTCCTTCTGGCACTCCCAACCCTCTGCTCATCTCTGCCTAGCACAGCTGAGCTGAAGCAGCAGCAAATAATCCATGCAAGCTCTCCGGGGAGTGTCAGGCCAGCTCTGCCCACAGCCCCCAGGAATTGCTCAGATAGGAGACATGGGAGGGGGAAGGAAATTCAGGCCAGGTTCCTGATGGGCCAAGACACTTGGAAAGGAGCAGCACATTCCTCCACCCTCTTCCCCAGCCACAGCACACTCCCAGCTGCCTCCCACGCCGTGCCAGAGCCTCCTGCCCCTCAGCAAGCCAGGGCTGATATGGAAGATCGCCCAGGGCTTTGCAGCAGCATTTTCAGGAGCAGCAGAGGATACACAAGAATAGGGGCTGCTCCCGGACCCCCAAATCCTGACTGCCAGGCTGGGCTCAAGTCACGCACTGCCAGGAATGGGAGAGGCATTCCCTGCCCCAGCCATGCCCCTGAGCCCAGGAAAGAGCCCCAGGGATTCACCTCTGGGTATCTGAGTGCTCAGCTGGCAATTGCATTCACAGTTCACCTCCAAAGGCTCCCTGCCCTCCTGGAGCTGTGGGGATGGAGTCAGGGCAGACAGCACAGGCAGTCAGTGCCCAGCTCTTCTGCTCCTGCTGGGAGACCTTGCACTGGGGGTGAGAAACCAGCTCCTCTTTGGAAAACACCTTCTGTCAGGGCAAAAACTGGTGCACAAGCTCACGGCTTTCCACAGCCTCCTCGAGATCTGCTTAAAGGCACATTAAAGGATCTTTCAGCCTTGAAGGAAAGATATGAGGGCAGAACGAACTCCATGACACTGCAGGGGACAGAGGCCTTTGGGTGCACCAGAGGAGATTGCTAGAAAGCACCTTCCTGTTTGAACAACAGCTCAGAAATCTATCAGGAGGGCTATAAACGGTGTTTATCTCAGAAAAGCTGATACCTGTGGAGAGGACATGGAGGTTTGATCTTCCGGCCGTTACATTAACATCACAATCAGATTGTTCCTTAATAATTGGAGTCTAATCTCTACTGGAGGAGCTTCAGGTTAGTGATCTCAGCAAACCTCATGTACATGCAATCTGTAGCAGCAAAAAAAGGCTTTGTAGTAGAACCCACACCAATTCAGTGAGCAAGAGATACTTTTATAATGGTGCAAACATAAGGTCTTCCATGGATTTTACAGAAATATTGGGAAAAACATACTCCATCTCCAAAATCTGCCAAAATCTGCTTTGGAGAACTGGTTTAGAGAATTACAGATAAATTGTGATGGTTCCACAGCACCACGCTAGACAGACCAGAGGATCCCAAACACCTTTACATGGACAAACAGAGCTGCAACCACTTTAGCAAGTCTAGAGAGTCATCCCAAGCAATCCCTGCCATCCTGTCACCTCCATGCCTGAGGGCACCAACACTTTGGCAGCATCTAACAAAGTGTCATACCTAGAAGATGCTCAGACACCAGGCCCAGCTGAGCCTCTCCAGGCTCTCTGCCAAGCACCACGAGTCTGGAAGAAACAGATCTCCCCATCAGCAGAGAAACCAGGAGGGCTTTACCAGCTTTGGGGCTGCCTTTTATCTGCTCAGGGTTTCAGGGAGTGCTTTGGATGAAGTTTTTCCCACACTGGCAAACTAATCTTTGCCCAAGTCAGGTGTCTTTTTTCACAGAACTTACAACACCCTCTGTTTCTGGGATGTCCAGCCTTCTAAAAAAGGCTGAAGCAGGACAAGACTCACGTCAGAAGCAGCATGATTGCCTCGAACTTGCTTTCCCAGAAAAGCTGTCTCTTTAGGTTTCTCAGGTCACTGGTTCAAAGTCCCACAGCACCAGCTCTACCTGCCAGGTGCTCCCAAGATTTCTCCAACAGTTGTATTTTCATTACCCAAATTTTTAGCCCTTTCCTTTTGAAGTGTCAGGCACAATTTCAGCCTTCAGTATTTTTCAGGGCATAGAAAAGCCTGGAGACTCTGCAGGCATTACAGAGCTAAGGGCAGACCTCAGCTATCCCTGCAACCAGCACTGTGATGCTGGTGTGCCCTTTGAACTATTCCAGTACACTTTCACAGGAATGAGGGCACTGCTCTTTGTCTCTGGTTGTTCCCCAGCTGCCACAGAAGCCAGGCACACATCTCACAGAGCACTGAGGACTGACTGGGTCCTCCCACGACTGAAAGCCTCCTCCTCAGCCTTCTGCCCTTCCCAAACACCTTTTATTTTAATGTTTCCAGATTGTGAACTGGCAGGATGTTTCCCCAGGCTGGCTGGAGCAAGGCTTGCTCCAACTCCACGCTGCCCGGGGAGGTGGCAGGGGAGAGATATCAGGGACAAAAACAATTAGCTCCATGTTTCAAGGCAAGGAGAGCAGGCTCTGGGTCCAGGGACATCCTCAGCAAGGGGAAGGATCTCCCTGTTGCAAGGCAAAGCCCCTGGAAGTGGCTCCCAGAACAAAGTCCCCATTGCCCAGCCCAGGGAGCTTCCAGGATCCTGCTAGCACACAAAAAAATTCCAAATGCCTGGGCAGACCTGTCCCTGCAGCTGCCAGCCCAGCTCACAAGCAAGGGTCTTGCAGTGGGTTATGGCCTCCTTCCCAAAGCTCAGGGAGTCCCAGATCCCTGCTGTGCTAGGGTGACCAGGGGCTGATTTCTGCCTTGGGATTCTGCAGCTGAAAACTGGCATGTTTTACCTGCCAGGTCACAGGTAGATGCAGCTAATCCACCCAACTTCAGTACTGAGTAAAATCCTCATGGGGGATCAAGAGAAATAAGCAGTGTAAAGGCAATCCAGCCCTATGTGAGGAGATAAGTTTACCCTCAGCTGTCCCTGAGTGTAGCTGCCCTTTCCCATGGAAGATCTTTGCAAAGCTGAGGCTGCCCAGGAAATGCAGGATTAAAGTTCCCAGCTCAGTGCTGGGATGAAGAGAGACACAGTGCCTTCAGCAGAGTGAGCTGAGGGGAAGCACAGCACTGCTCTTCCCTGGCTCCTTGCACCACTGCCTGCTCCTGCACACTCCATGCAGTGCTGGGACCAAGGGCAGGACAGGCTGGGTCCCCCCAGGCCTTGCCAGGACTTCATGGGGCACAGCATGGTGCTGGCACAGGGGGCACTGGCAGCTCTGGGAGGAGAAGGCTTTGCCCAACATCCTTATCTCTGAAGATGCCTTCCTGACCTCCTCACCTCCCATATGTGTTTATCTCCGCTACACAACTTAATGCCCCCAAACTATTCTGGCAGCAACTCCTGGCACAGGCATCCTTGAGAAAGCTTTGAAAGATGACGAAGAGAAGTGCCAGGTTTCAAAGCCAGCTGCTCTGATACCAGCTTATCTAAGGAAAACTAATAGCTGCAGTTTGCCAAGCTACATCCATTTAGGAAACGCTCCATCACAGAACTACTTTGTGTGTTATTTCCTCACACTGGTGAAAACAAATCAGCTCAAGAAATGCCAAAAGACCCATGTATTGCTGTAAGGAGCATATATTTTTATCTTGCTGCTGATGTCAGACACAGAGAGGTGAGAATACGAAGCCTGCTAACTGTTCACAGGCTGCTGAACGCTTCCATAGGCTCACGGATCTCTGCTGGTGGATGCTTGCATCAAAGCTGGCCTTTGCTCACCACCTCCTCACTCAGCAGAGCCCATTCCTCTCACTAACTCCTGCATGTCTGTTTTCTGTACATCACCGTGCTGGCCTTGGCTGGGCAGACTGAATTTCCTTCAGAGCAGCTGCTGTGGGGCTGGGTTTGGCTCTGTGCTGGAAACAGGGCTGATACCCCAGGGATGTCTGAGTTATCCCTGAGCAGGGATTGCACACAGCCAGGGCCTGTCCTGCTCCTCACCCTCACCAGGGAGGAGCTGGGGGGACACAGCCAGGACAGCTGATCCCAGCTGACCCCAGGGGTACCCCAGACCTTGTGGCATCACCCTCAGCACACACAGCTGGCGGAGAAGGAGGAAGGGGACACATTCTGAGTTTGTCCTCCCAAGTCCCTGTTACAGAGATGGAGCCCTGCCTTCCTGGAACTCCTCCTGCCAAGGGAGGCAGTGGATGAATTCCCTGTTTAGCTTTGCTTGCATACATGACTTTTGCTTTAGTTATTAAACTGTCTTTATCTCAACCCCCAGGTTTTCTCACTTCTACTTTTCCAATTCTCTCCCCCATCCCGAGGTGGGGAGGGAGTGAGTGGCTGCGTGGGGCTGAGTTGCTGGCTGGGGTTAAACCATGACTGTCACTCAGACATGTTCTCCTTCCCCTGGGTGGCAGGAATAAACCAGGAGACAGGTTTTAGCCCAAGGGCTTGACACACGCCATCAAAAACTCTGAGGATGTCTGTGAATAATCCTCTGAAAAATAAGGTCAAGTATGGTAGGGATAAAGTTCAGATCACAGAGCTACTTAAATGGGAGGGAATAAAAAAAGATGCAAAGAGGAGGAGCAGCAGCAGCTAAGATTACACATATGTGTCGTGAAGAACATTGAGATCAAGTCTGAAGGAGGTGTGGACATTTCCTGCTTTAGAAACAGCTTTGGAGAGGAAAATAAAGGTCTGTCTTTTCATCCACCCAGGGTAAGATGCTTCAAAGGATGATTGGCTTTTGGCATAAAACTTCCCAGAATGGTCAGAAACATGGATGCTCCCAAGACCATTGGCTATTTTGTACTTCAGAAAATACATTTCATGCAACCATAAAAACTGGTGCAAGCATCCCAAACACTGCTAAAGTAAAACTTTGGCTCATTGCAATATCCTGGTACAGATTCAATCTCCTCAACATCTCTATTGAAAACTGAATATGATTAGGGTGTAGGACTGTGGTTTGAGGACCTGCTGGAGAGATGTCAGAAGCAAAACACCAAACAATGAATGAAGGTAAGAAATGCTACTTTCAAAGCATGAATGGAGGGAGATAAGGGAGATACCTTTGATCTCAAGTGTTCCCACCTGCTCCAGCACTGACCTGGAGACATTAAACAGCACAATCTGAAAATGTCAAGAGAGGTCACAGAAACAACTCTGAAATCTCAGAAGATGACCTGGAAACGAAACAGGATTCAACCAAGCAGGAGATTAGGAATGGTAGGTACAGACACAGGTCCTACAGCTGTATAGACATGTCCTTTCTGCCTGCAAAAGCAACAGAGAAAGTCCTTTCTGTGGTAAGGTGTAAGTGCAGCCCTGGGGGAAATGATGTGACACAACCCTCACCATGCAGGATGGGGGATCTCTGTCCACATCACTGTGTTGCTCAACTCTGACTCTCAGGCAACGCACAGGCACACCTTTGGTGATATCACCTAAGCACTGGTTTCTGACACATGGTCTCATGCCTTTCCAGGTAAAATGAAGTGTTTGAGTAGAAGGAGTGATGCTGGGCTGGCCACCCACACACCCTCCCCTCCATATCCACGGCCTGGGCGAGGGAATGTGCTGCAGGAGGGATGGGGAATGTGTGACTGTAAGGGTGGGCTCTCCTCAGTTCCTTTATTGAGCCAGTCATTTTTAGGTATAAAGGAGGAAATCAGGTTCCAAGATGCTTTTGCACCGAAAACCAGCACAGGCTTGAACAATATTGAACTACTTGCACGTGCCTTTATTTTCTTTCCACAAACCATATACTGCAGGCAGCACAGGGAGTTGCAGCATCTTTTGGGTGCAACCTCTCCCCTCTGTCACATCTCGCCGCTCCCAAAGCCTTCATCTTCCCCCAAACTCCCCATCATCCTCGGCATTTCCCAGGTTTAAAGTACAGAGTCTAAGAAGAGTCTAAGCAAACAAGCCTAAAGAAGCGAAGCTGCCAGGCAGGACAGCATCAAGGGAGCAGGGCTAAGCCGGGCTCACCCAGAGCCTTGCAGCAGATCTGACATCGAGCCCAGCGTCACCACCCCAGCCACTGTTCCCATGGCTACACGGGAAGATAAATTGAGTTCAAGGAACCTCGTGTCGCTACATTATTTAACAAACAGACAGTCACGCTCAGGAGGAAAACACAGGCAGGGACCCAGTTTAGCAGCTGCGTGGGCTGATCAGACGCCCGAGTACCTCACGGCGTGGAAAGAGCCCAGTCGAGCTCAGGCCGAGCCAGGCAGGGTGTTAGCCACAGGGAGAGTCCAGCACGGCCACAGATGAGCCATGCTGGTCCTGCAGGACCACAGCTGCTTGTCCACAAACCCAACCAGACCTTGCACCTGACAGACCCATTCATGAAACAATCCAAAGCCTGACTTCAGGAAAGGAAAGGCCACCCCACGGCAGGTCTGTGTTCTGGCCCAGGACTCAAATGCAGCACTGGGCAAAGAGGAAAGGAGTGTGGGCACGAAGAAAAGCATAGGAGGAAAAAAGAGCGTGGAGGAGTTATAGGGTGTTAGGAGAGATGAACAGGCTTTGAGGGCAAAGGCATTGATGGAGCTTTGTTTGGAAAAAGAGGCTCAGCACGGCAGCAGTGAGGAGAAACAAGAGGGGTCTGGGGGAGCTGAAGCAGGAAAAGAGGAGCAACAGGAGGTGTTTGGCCCCTTGAGTGCCCTGAGCCAGCGCGGGATGAGCAGGACTGTTCTCACCCCACAATGTTTTCAGTGCAGGTGTAACCCAGCGCCTTTCCCCTTCCCCAAAATCCTGCAAGGAGGAGCAGAAGGTGACCCAGGTCGCTCTGTGATTCACCAAGCACTGCAGAGGGCCTCGATCCTGGGAGTCTGTGAGATGCCAAGTGCACTGGGCTATTGTCAGGACCCTTCCCTGGGCAGGCAGAGGGGACACGAGCGGGACACAGCCAGGCCAGCAGTGCCACCGTGTGGGAGCAGGTCACCTCCTTCTGCCAGGACACGGCAGCAAGGGCTCCTGGAGCGGGAAGGAGAGCAGTTAGAAACACAAACACGCAAACATCTATAAATCAACTCAGCTCTCACCCTCCCCCCATCCCAAAACTTAAAAAGAATGAGAGACTTATCCAGATAAATTTTCTCAGCCAGAAACCTGCTCCTTGCTGGAAGCCAAAAGACTGTGTTGTCTCTCAAGTGTTTTTCAATAATGCCCAGAAACATAACCCACTTTCACCAGGCACTGAAGTGAGACTGACAGGACTGTAATTACCAGGGTCTTCTTTCTTGCTCCTCTAGAAAATGGCAGGTTTGGCCAGCTTCCTGTGTGCAGGGACCTCTCCAGTCTCCCAAGACTTGGGAAATAATGGAGAGAGATCCTGTGATGACAGGCCCAGCGTTTTCAGTACCCTGGGATGAACCCCCCTGAGCCCCATAGATCTGTGTGCATCCAGCTGGAGCAGCAAGCCTCAAACACGTTCAGCTTTGGTGGAGAGTTTATCCTGCCCTATTCACAGTCCCACAACACGGAGCTCTGTGTGTCCCAGGGCCCAGCCCTGATGTTAATGACAGAGGTGAAGAAGGCATTAAACACCTCTGCTTCCTCCATGTCCCTGTTTGGGAGGTGTCTGACCTTGTCAAGTGTGAACTGATGTGATCTGTGATCCTCCTTTTGCTGGTAACATGTTTTAACAAGTCCTTTTTGCTGTCTTTCACAGTGCTGGCAAGCTTGAACACTAATCAAGCTCTGGCCACGTGAATTTTCTCCCTGAAATTTTGAACAGCATTTCCCTCATTTTTCTGTGTAACCTGTCCTTGCTTCCCATGTCATACACTGCGCCTTCAGTTCCCCTCTGAGTCCCTGTGACAATAACCTGTCTTTTTTTTTCTCCACAGGAGTGATTTTGATACGGAATGCAGGTCAACTTGACCTTGTTGATACCTCCAACCTCAATGCAGAATAGCCCTCAGCACTGATTCTACCTGCAGAGCCCGGTATCTCTGACCCAAGGGCACCTGAGAAGGTGGGGTAATCCCAGAGGAGTGCACAGAGAAACGCAGCTTAACCCTTGTGTGCAGCACAGCCCACTGGGAACAGCTGGTTCCAAGGGAAGGCACCAGCACAGGCAGGAGTTACAAGGAAACAGTGTTAGGGGAAGTTCTCTCTAAGCACCATTTGTGTTGGTGTCCTGAAGCACAAAGTAAAATTCCGGCATGTAGGGGTTTAAAAGAGAAATGTAACTATCATTTTTCTGGCAGCCACAAGTACTGCACAGGTGTTTTTACTGAATTTTCCAACACATACGTAGGTCTCCATCTTCAGACAATGCTGCTAACTTTGACATTGCTTCCTTCTCTGTTGAAAAGTTTATTATCTGGTTTCTAAGTTATAAAAACTTACTTCTTGGCCTCCAGAGCCAGCTGGTTTCCTTTCTACTTAATGATAAAGCTATCTTATCTGGCTTTATGGAATGCTGAACTTCAACAGCTGACAGTCATCGAGCCATATGAACTGGTTGCACCCTGGAATTTGTTGATCAGAGAAAATAATTTCCCTTCAGTAATATCCTGATAATTGCCCAAACTCTAGCAGCTCTTTCCGCTTAGCATTTGACTGGAAATTTTCGGTGAGGAAGTAAAGCTCCTTGTTCTGCAAAAGGTCAAGAGTTCTCAACAATAAATTAATTTTTCTATCAGAAGTTTTGCCATTGGAATGTAAGTCAATCAGCACATTTAACTAAAACCCACTAAATTCTCTAGAAATTATCTAATTTAAATTGATAGATTCCTCTGGAATAAAAGGCTGTTATTTCAAACTGGAAAAAAGTGGTCAGGCAGTGATCAAAGAAAGCAGGCACTGAAAAAGTTCCTTATTTCATATGGCCTGTTTGGATGAGACCTGTGTTGGCAGGTACGAGTTCCTGTCCCGCACCCTCGGCCGGGTGTCCCCTGGCCTGGTGCCACTTCACCCCGCAACCCCAGCCCGGCCACCCGAGTCCCGGACCGGAACCTGCCCACCCCGCACCCCTGTGCTCCACCCCGCCCCGGTGTCCCCTCTCCCGTCTGGTGTCCCCTGTCCCGGCCCAGTGTCCCCTATCCCAGCCCAGTGTCCCCTATCCCGCCCCGGAGTCCCTGTCCCGCCCGGTGTCCCCTGTCCCTCCCGCTGTCCCTGTCCCAGCCCGGTGTCCCCTGTCCCTCTGTCCCTGTCCCTCCCGCTGTCCCCTGTCCCTCTGTCCCTGTCCCAGCCCGCTGTCCCTGTCCCTCTGTCCCTGTCCCTCCCGCTGTCCCTGTCCCTCCCGCTGTCCCCTGTCCCTCTGTCCCTGTCCCTCTGTCCCTCCTGTCCCTCCCGCTGTCCCCGTCCCTCACCCGGTCCCGCAGCCGCGTCCCCCGTCCCCACAGCAACACCGCCCCGCCCCGCCCCTCACGCCCCAGCAGCCAATGGGAGCCGCCATGCCGCGAGTGGCGGCCGCGCTGGCCAATGGGCGCGGAGGGCGGGAAGGCGCGGGCGGGCCCGGGCGGGGCCGGTGACGCCATCGCGGCGCTCCGGGCCCGGCCCGCGCCGCCGCCGCCGCCGCGCCATGAGCCAGTTCAGCTTCGGGGCGGCCGCGCCCGGCGGCGCCTTCGGCCTGGGCGCGCCCCGCGCCGCCGCCACCGCGGCCACCGCCGCCACCGCGGCCACCGCCGGCTTCTCCTTCTCCGCGCCCGCCTCCACCGGCTTCAGCTTCGGCAGCGCCGCGCCGGCGGCGGGCGGCGGCCAGCCCGCCGGGCTCTTCTCCTTCAGCCGGCCGGGCACGGCCGCGCAGCCCTCGGGCTTCAGCTTCGGCTCGGCCGCGGCGGCCCCCGCGGCCCCGGCGGCCGCCGCCTTCCCGCTGGGGTGAGAGCCGGGCCGGGCAGGGACGGGCGGAGGGACGGGCGGGGGGAGCGCGGTCCCGGCGGGGCCGGCCGAGGCTCGGCGGGCGCTCCGCTCCGCTCCGCTCCGCTCCGAGCGAGCCGTGCCCGCCCCGGTGCCCGGCGCTCCCGGCGCCCTGCACCGACCGCCCGCCGGGCCGGGCTCGCCGAGCCCCGGCGCTCCCGGCCGCTGTGCCGAGGGCGGCCCTGCACGCGTGGGAAGGAAAAGTTCCACACAGAAACGCTCAAGCTCTGAGAGCGAGCAGGAAACGTCGTGTTCCTTCTGCCCCGAATCCGGAGTGCTCTGAAGGTCTTCTCGGCACGCTGGGAGGGATCTGTCGTTCAGGAAAGGCTGCGACTTCTGCAGCGGCTCCGCGGAACTGCTGCTGTCAAAGCTTGCCAGATGGGAGCTGTGGGAAGGGAGCTCAAATGGGGACGAGCAGAAAAAACCAGCCTGGGGTAGAGGGAGTGGAAAGCGGTGAGCTGAGAGAAGAAGGAGCAGCTTCACGTGTGCTGCCATAAAATGTCCTGTGGTACCTGGCTGGGTGCAGGTGATGAAGGGAGGGTCACTAAAAGAGCCCTAAGGGGGATGGCAGGTGACAGCAGCTGGATGGAGTCTGTTGTCAGAGCTGGGACACAAGCCTGCCCAGGTGTGCATCCCTTTGAAAGGAGGGTTCTGCTGTCAGTAAATGGTCAGGGAGAAAGCTGGCTGTGTACTTGAGTGGATGTGTGTCTCAAGGAGAGTGGTTTCCTTTCTTTTCTTTCCCAGGGCAAACACACCAAAAGTGAACTTTGGAGCCAGCAGCAGCACTCCAGCTCCTGGGATCACGGGGGGCTTTTCTTTTGGTGCCCCTGTGGCAAGCAGCACGCCCTCGAGTCAGGCAGCAGCCCCGTCTGGCTTTGCCTTTGGCTCAGCAGGCAGCAGCAGCAGCAGCACGGCTCCGTCTGGGACAACAGGAGGCTTCACCTTCTCCAGTGGCACCACGACTCAGGCGGGGACAGCCGGGTTCAGCATCGGCACCGCGGCTCCGCAGGCGACGTCCGCAGGGCTGAGCTTTGGCACGGCCCCCGCGGCTGCTGCCAGCACCAGCACGGCCACCCTGGCAGCTGCCAGCCCGGCAGCAGCGCCCTTCAGCCTCGGGGGGCAGCCCACAGGTGGGTGAGCTGCGTGGAGGCTGTGCTGTGTGCAGCTGGGCACGGGCACAGGTTTGTGGGCACGGGGATGGGGCTGTGGCCCAGCCTCACCCCCATGGCTCCAGCTGTGAAAAGCAGGGGAGCAGCACTGACAGCACTGAGCCATGGAGTGCCCAGGGGCACTGAGCAACCCCCAAAGGGAGCAGGGGGCACACAGTGCAATGCAGGAACAGGAGGGGATGGAAGCTGGGCTGAAGAACAAGAGGGGCTGACACTTGCAGCCTTCTGAGGTGTTCTGGTGTTGCTGTGTGTGGGTTGAAGCCTTCTGCAATTGTCTGGTGGCACTCTGTATCGTGGCTATCTGGGCTGTCACACGGACTGTGACACAGCCTTGGGGGCAGCTGGAGGCTGGCAGCCTGTGTCATGGGCATGTCTGCAGGTGCAACTGGGGCAAGGCTCTGCAGCCTCTGCCTTGTGCTGGGGCAGAGTGGAGTGAGGGCTGGAGCCAGAGGTGTTTGTGACAGGCCTGTCCAGGGTCTGCAGTGCTGGGTAGCAAGTGCTCTTTGGCCTGCAGGAAGAAAGCCCATCTTTTCCTTTTGCTCCTGGTTCCAGGTCTGACCTTTGGGGCACTGCCTTCAACAGCAGCCACCAGTACAACCACAGCAACAACGACCACAAGCAGCAGCCAGGCACCCACCCTGTCCTTTGGAACCAAGCTTGGAGGTAGGAAGCTGTTCTAGGCAACGATTCCTTGAGGCTTTGGGGAATCTGCTGTCCTGGTAATAGTTGTCTGTTGAAGCAGACAAATACACTGGGTGTGGGAAGGGCCCCAGGCATGTGTTCTGTGGGTTTGCCCTGGCAGTGGTGATCTGTGACACCTCCTGCAGCCTTTGGACAGCGTGTCCTGTGGTTCTGATTGTGTCCCACATGCCAGATTCTGTTCTGTGCTTGTTTGGGAGCACAGTGGGAGGAAGGCACAATCTTGAAGGGGAACATTGTGAAAGACAGGCAGGGAGGGAGAATAAGAGGAAAAGGAGGTGAAAATGCTGCCATGCCCAGGAGCTAGGTGTGGCTGGGCAGTTTGTGTCCCCCTCCCTGCAGGGCTGTGGTGCAGGGGCTGGGAGCTCAGTGTGCTCTGCTTGTTCACATGGAGCTGTTTGTCCCTGCAGTCACATCCACAGCTGCCAGCACGGCCTCCACCACCAGCACCACCTCAGTGCTGGGCTCCACGGGGCCCTCCTTGTTTGCATCTGTGGCAACTTCCTCAGCCCCAGCCTCCTCCAGCACCTCGGGCCTCTCACGTGAGTCTCTCCAGGCAGGTTTGTCCTGGGGCAGTAGAGGAGCAGTGGCTGCTGCTGCCTGGGGCTGCTGCTGCTGCAGGCAGAGGTGTGGGGAGCAGGCTGGGCACAGCTTTCCCAAGGGGCCCTGCATTCCATGGCTTATGCAACATTCAATGGTGTCTTCTCTTCACAGTGGGTGTCACTTCCACTGGTTCCACTGGGACAGCCAGTCTGGGGACACTTGGCTTTGGATTAAAAGTTCCTGCAACCACAGCTGCCACAACGAGCACTGCCACTGGTAGGAACAAGATGCTGAAAGTCACTGAAGAGAGGGGAGACTGAATTCAGTGCTCTGTAGGGGTGTCAAGAGCCATGTCAGGGTAGCAGCACAGCAGCTGTGATTTGTAAAACCCTCAAGTAACTGAAAAGAGCACAGTGTGTCTTCCTGGGATCCTTTTCCATCTCTTTGTGAAAACACAGAATTCTCTCTCTCACTGCAAAGGTGCAGGGGAGGCGCTGGGTGTGCTGGCAGTTATTGGTTCTGCAGTAAAGCCTGAGGCCATTGACAGGGCTGTGGGCTGGGGATGTTTTCAATCCCTCCCTGACAGATGGAGCATTTGCAGTTGTTGCCTTCAGAGGGATCTACTGCAGCTCCTACAGCCACGGGCAGTGCCCCTGGAGCTTTCTGTGCTTGGGAGGTACCAGGTGTGTCCCCTTCTGCTGCTTGACTTGAATCTCTTCCTGCAGGGACTACTTCTGCTGCTGGCTTTCCTTTGAATCTGAAGCCATTGACTACCACTGGTGCCATTGGAGCTGTGACCTCCACAGCTGCCATAACCACCAGCACCACACCCAGGTGGGGTTTTGTGACCACTGAGCATTCCCTGCCTGGGCCAGGAGCAGCTGCAGTGCTCAGGCTGGGGGCTGCAGGAGGAAGGGCAAATCAGGGAGTGTTGTGGTGTTTCTCTTTCCTGACCTCGTGTCCTGTGCTGCCCCTCACCCCCTCTCAGTGCCCCCCCAGTGATGACTTATGCCCAGCTGGAGAGTTTGATCAACAAGTGGAGCCTGGAGCTGGAAGACCAAGAGAAGCACTTCCTCCATCAAGCCACACAAGTGAACGCCTGGGACCGCATGCTGATAGAGAATGGAGAGAAGGTGAGCTGGCCTCCAGTGGAACCTCACTCTGCCTGCCTGGCTCCTCAGAGCTCTCTGTTACAGGTGCAACAAGCCATTGAGTGGCACTTGCTGCTTGTCAAATAGGTGTGAGCTCCAGCTGGGTGCTTTGCACAGCCTCTCTGTGTGTCACTTCTGGCCTTTAGGCCTTGGAGATCTGTTCTGTGCCTTTGCTCTGTGACACCGAGTTCTCTTAGGGGGGATCATTCCAAGCTGAACCTCCCTTATTCCATCTTGGCTCTGTAAATCTTCATGTGGCCATCTCTTGTTTGCAGTAGAACTTGCATGCTGTGCTCTCCCCCTCCCACCTCTGTTCTTTGGAGAGCTGCCTTCTTGGTTTTCAAGGTTTCATGGAGTGTCTTCTGTTTGCAGATTACTTCTTTACACAGAGAAGTGGAGAAGGTGAAGGTTGACCAGAAGAGGTAGGAGACCTGGAGCACTTTTATTTCTTCTCTGCATTGGCCTGCCTGGCTGTGTGACAGCTCTGCAGCGTCTGCAGCGTGAACGGGAAGCATTTGGCTCTTTCTC